ATGTTTGGGGTTCTGTTTTTAATTCTATTTTTTTTTTTTTTTTTTTTTTTTTTTTTTTTTTTTAAATAATGGCTTAATCTCACCACATGAAGGGATGATGTAAATCAGCTGGGGTCCATGCAGGTAACAAAAGTAATGTAAGCCTATGGTCCCTAGTAGGGTGAATCTACCTTCAGTTGCTTGTGATCTATGGCGAACATATTCTGTATCACCAGGCCGAGTTGACAAATATAAAACGTGTTTCAGTTGTTTTACTACTATCGGCCCATGAATAGATTTTAATAATATAACATTATAAATTATTCAGAGTATGATATGTTTGAGTCACGATAAACAAGCAGATAGGAATTTAATGATGGCCCAGCCAGAAGTGTCCACATAGCGTTACCTGACAAGTGATATTTTGGAAGTAATAGGATCCCATGATGTTTTGATCTCCCTGTCACGACTATCCATTTTATGATTATATGAATCCATGCATTATTATCAGATCCTATGAGCTGTAATACACACGTAGTTATGGGGCTAACACTGCGACAGACAAGAGCTTAGCGTCAGTAGATATCTGTACAGGTTTCCTCAAACCACAGGAATTAAAGGTATTCGTTAGAGGTGTAGATATATCAGCAACTTTAAAGAGAGACGGAGCAAAGTGCTTGGTCCTCGCAGATTAACTTCTTAGAGGACGCAAGCATTATTGGGACTCATAAAGAACCGGATTAGGAACTGGTTTTCAGCAGCCCATATGGATTTGTCATAAGAAGGCGACTAGCTTAGGGATCAGCAGGTGAAGTAGGACTCGCTGGCTTGGATTTGACACATGTCATTTATATCCCAATTACGTAGATCGAATGCTCTTTACGTTGATCAATACGATTATCTGGTCGAGACTTGATTGAGTTGGAAACAGTCATATTGGAATACTGGAATACTGCTCAGTACGCGGCGCGTTGCACAACCAACCAACCAACATAACGTGTACGCTGAGACGGTCTTCAGTTATGATTAGAAGTCCACTCATGCGCGTGACTGCCTGACTACAGACAAAAAATTTCTGCATTACACACAGAAACGCGATGCATATTTTTTTCAGAAAAGTAAGTTCATTACTTTCTGAAAGCTTATTCATCCTAGAAGCAGAAATATACATGTACGCTTTCAAAGCGCACGCACGAACACACCTGTTGTTATTGTGTGGAAACATATTTACTTTATTCAAAACTGCGCGAAAGCCATCTCGCATAGGAAGTGACTGGGTTAGCTTGAGTTATTAATGGGGAGGTAACCGACGCCTGACTTAATTGTTCAGTCAAAACATGCCTCGTATTACCTGGACTCTCTAGAGTATACATAATACGTATAAGCAGCGTTTATCGCAGCGTTTTAAAACCGTTCTTCTTTACGGCAGAAGGGATATAATACATTAATACCGTATTATGAATAACAATATCGTGTCAGTTCTATATTATTTCGTGGATAGTAAAACCATTGGAAATCACGACTGAGAGAGGTGTCCCTTCCATTGATGTAAAAACAAAGCGCCTGGGAGGTTCATAGTTTTCAGTTTGCTGTCATGTTAGTTGGTTTTGACCACAATTTTCTCTTATGTGCAGATTTTCACAGAAACACTATTTTAATACTTTCTCAAAAGATTCCTCGTCACAGACAACACCATCGGAAATGGGGCTGAGGGACCACTTTACCAAAAGCGTTATTTCTGGCTAATTCAGCTTCAGCGGTGGTTTAAAAGGAGAATTAGTTGTGGTTCAGGGACATCAATAGATGTCTCTAGTTACTTGAGGGATAATACAACGGTGTCCATAGCCATTAGTCGTGACACCATCGCAGCAATCCATCGTTTCGTATCCATGGGGACAAGGATGTTTTGTTTAATGTTATCCCGTAGATCCTGCATGCACGTGTATAATCAGGGCGACAATCACAAATTTCAGATATGCCCCTGAGACACCAATTCAGCACTACCTCTTGTGAATTTCTTATGTAATCACGGTATGGTTAACCAAAGAATTGTACAGAGTATGACTTGGTATTGTATTTTAGCTGGTACACCCGTAAAAGAATTATGACGAAATGAAATTATCGAAGGTTGAGGCAGAGAGCGTAGATTACAATTTTTAATTGAATTCTAATTTGTTTCCTTTAAGGTTTTCTTAATATGATACATATTCACGCACAGCCACACACACACACACAGAGAGACATATATATATATATATATATATATTAGCATGGCCCTAGATGTGTGTGTGTCAATATTATATATATATATATATATATATATATAATATATATATATATATATATATATACACACACACTAGGGCTGCGCAATGTAAGCGGTTTACCGGTATTTACCAGTTCAGGGCCATGAAACCTTGATACGTATTGTGTGCGATATGGTGATCGGAAGGCCATATTTTGACATGCATTCGGAAGAACTGCATAACCTTTCGAAATGTTTTAGGATATTTCCGATTTTTGGATATTCTTTTCCCTGTTTCATTCATTTTAAATGTTGCTTTTATTTTGCTTACATTTTTTTATTTTGTCATGATTACAGAGTTTTTTATAAAGGTGAAATCCAATCATAAAAAGTTTATTTGTGTATAAGCTTTATAATAGAAAGGCATTAACTCGATTATAAATGGATTTTGTTAAAAAATAATCCTTGCAATATATATTGCATTACATGTCATACGCAATGTATATGCTTCCAGTATCGCATTATATCGCATGCATAGACATTCTCATGCAATACCCATCCCTAACACACTGGAGCATATATATATATATATATAATGACCACACAGAAGATTAAGATTAAATTTATAATGTGTTCCCTTAAAGGGTTCATAGCTTAATACCATACATATTTCCACACAAACAGACAGTATACATATATATATATATATATATGTGTGTATATATATATATATGTGATAGTATGTGTGTCTATCTATATATATATGTGTGTGTATATTATCTTGCCATCATGTTGCATTCGAGTAATCTTTATTGAGAGCAGTAGTGTGGTGCTAGATCGATGGAAATATCTTTTTACCACAATATTCATTCGTAATCTCGACTTTTGATTATTGCAGAATGGGATGTAAGGGAAGCTTCTGGGTGCATACATATATATTTAGCATAACGTTTATCTACCAAGCTGAGTAAAAGCAACGACAATCTCACTTATCCATAAATAAAAGACAATAACAAGGCCATGTATTTGAACCCATTTTTACTTGCATATATGTTGGTACAGAAAACGTTTATCTACGTCTACGTCTCAGTCATCAACAATACTGTTTCCCTCTGTTTTATTTTATTATTCATAACCTTTACTTTATGTTGCAGCAAAATATCACAAAGGGAGGATGAGCAGGATCTTTATCTTAGGACAAATGACATTTTTCGTCCTGACCTGGAAACAAGATTGGAAGCAGTCTCTTTGAAATCCGAGAAGATACTTTGTTGAGAAAGGTAACTAAGTCATTGTAAAACTTAGTAGATCATTGCAGCGTAGACTATAAAGTGCCTTCAGCAGTTAGGAAGGCAAACCATAAAGCATGTAGCAATGTCTTGCTCATGTTGATTTATCTTTGAAACCATTTGCGAATGGGTTTTAGTCAACTATTCTGATTAGCTAAGGCATATTGCCCTAAAGCCTTCCATATTGCCTTTCAGCTACCCAATTACATCAGCTTCCATGTCAGGTTTGCCCAAATTGAAGCATTTCTGTCCCTTCTGATTCCTTTGTGTTATACTCGTGTCGAAGCAGTGTCCCAAAATTGACACAGGACTATCCTATGTGTAACAGCCCATACCTCCATCGAGATGTATCATTTTGATTAATTTTATTTTCCAGATTGCCAAATTTTTGCGCCAACAAAACTAAGGACCCTTTAGCACAAGTGAAGAACGACTCATCGAACACATAGAAAATCATGCATACGACTTTGTTTTGAACCTCTCACCATTGAAGTGGTAGATTTTCCAAACCCAAAGGCTGGACCATGTTTTTGTGTTCTTGTCCCATTCGTTATCAGTTGCGTTAGATTTCTGCACATCACCCCGACCAAGCCACATTGTATGTGATGTATTCCTGGCTCTGCCTACACAGTCTGTGATAGTTTTGTCACTGGTTGATGGGGATGAATACTGTCCCGAAGCAGTGACATACAGTATGTCAGTGGCGAGGAGGGTGATAGAGACACTTAGCAGGTTCACTGATGAGGGATATCAACTCAATCCATGAGGTCATTCCCATTTCTCTCCTTGAGGACGCTGTTGGATTTAAGAATCGATTAAAGAAGCTGGCAAATGGAGTCTTCTCATTTTGTCACAAACGATTCTTTGGTAATGACTCCCAGTAGGTATGAGAAAGTCCTGACTGCTTTCTGGGCTGGTGTTGCTGAAACAAGAAGTCGGTGCTAAAAGAAGAAAGTGGAGACACCGATAGCGACTTATCTTAGATTTCTCACCCAAAGAACAATGTATCATTCTGGTGGAGAACATAAACAGTAAGGACGTCGAGGTCAAGTGTATGCCTGGTAGTGGAGCCACGACTCTATTTGCTGGAGGTGGCTGGGAGACTAGACAGACTAGGGGGACTCTGCTGCTTGTATGTAGGTCACGAAAGGAGAGGGACAGGCTCAGGTTTATTGATTTAGTCAGTGGATGTAGTTAGGTGTTATTGCCATTGTCAGCATTGGTAGTCATATCCAGTCACGAATTAACAAATGTTATAACCCAAAATATCAATTTCGTAAGTGTGTCCTCAGGGAAGAGACCTCTCTGCTTTAATAGGCCTCAACATTTTGAGACGGGTTTGCTTGAGACCCACCTGTGCTTAAGTTATTATTACAAACCCTATTTCAGGTCGGTGTACCCATCAGCTGTAGCAGCAGAGGGATCTCAGTATGGTGGACATGTCGTCCTGCGTGAAAAATATAGTCGATGGAAACCAACACAGTCATGGCACAAACAAGCGGACAACATTGGCGATTTACTACCTGTGAGTATATTTACATATTCGTAGAGACTCTGAATAGACAGTGCTCCAGTACTGGGTAATAAAATAAAAGACTCTCTATTTGTTAGTTAAAGCACGCTGCTATGTCAGGTCATAAAGGATGTTATTTGATAGATGCGAGAGAGAGAGCGAGAGAAAACAGCACTGGGTTAGAATATCCACAGTAGTTCTTATGTACTGGTGATGCAAAATGAATAATCATTTTGTATACAGCGAAGACATTTTAGTTTGTTAAAGAGACTTGGACTTTCTTCACTTCAGATCCAACTGCTGCCAAAGAACTGAAGTCCCAAATGATGAGGTAGAAATGATAATGTACACTTCTGTAATGATAAGCTCCTCATGTGAGGGTTTAGAGATGCTTCTTACCACATAAAACAGTTTACACATTTTATTTCATTTTCTCGACAGAGTCAAGTGATCGTTTTCGAAAGTATATGAAAGAGTGGTGGTTTCTGGCAATGGGACAAGTACAATTTTTTCATGAGTTTGCCTCTGGGTCAGGAATAGCTACACGCATAGGCATTGAGATCCACAACATATCATGTAAAAGTTCCACGTCTACTTCTTCTTAATCCACTTTTAACATCTTTTTATATGTATTTGAACATAGTTTACCTGCATATATATTTGGTACAGCGTTTATCTATAAAGCTGCTAAAGGCAAAACACCATCTCATATGCATAAATAAAGACAATCCACAAGTACATTAATGTTTCCCTGAAGAACTGAAAGCTGTTGAACGTCTCGGTCATCAACAATACTGTTTCCCTCTGTTTTATTTAATATTCATAACCTTTACTTTATGTTGCAGCAAAATATCACAAAGGAGGATGAGCAGGATCTTTATCTTGGGACTAAAATGACATTTTTCGTCCTGACCTGAAACAGATTGGAAACAGTCTCTTTGAAATCCGAAGATACTTTGTTGAGAAGGGTAACTAAGTCATTGTAAAACTTAGTAGATCATTGACGTAGACTATAGAAATGCCTTCAACAGTTGAAGCAAACCATAAAGCATGTAGCAATGTCTTGCTCATGTTGATTTATACTGAAACCATTTGCGAATGGGTTTTAGTCAACTATTCTGATTAGCTAAGGCGTATTGCCCCTAAAGCCTTACCATATTGCCTTTCAGCTACCCAATTACATCAGCTTCCATGTCAGGTTTGCCCAAATTGAAGCATTTCTGTCCCTTTACGATTCCTTTGTGTTATACTCGTGTCGAAGCAGTGTCACAAAATTGACACAGGACTATCCTATGTGTAACGGCCATACCTCCATCAGGATGTATTATTTGATTAATTATATTTTCCAGATGGCCAGAATTTTGCACCAACAAAACTAAGGACCCTTTAGCACAAATTAGAAAAGAACGACTCATCAAGACACATAGAAAATCATGCATACGACTTTTTGTTTTTGAACCCTCTCACCAATGAAGTGGTAGATTTTCCAAACCCAAAGGCTGGACCATGTTTTGTGTTCTTGTCCCATTCGTTATCAGTTGCGTTAGATTTCTGCACATCACCCCGACCAAGCCACATTGTATGTGATGTATTCCTGGCTCTGCCTACACAGTCTGTGATAGTTTTGTCACTGGTTGATGGGGATGAATACTGTCCCGAAACAGTGACATACAGTATATCAGTGGCGAGGAAGGGTGATAGAGACACTTAGCAGGTTCACTGATGAGGATATCAACTCAATCCATGGAGTCATTCCCATTTCTCTCCTTGAGGACGCTGTTGGATTTAGAATCGATTAAAGAAGCTGCTTAAATGAGTCTTCTCATTTTGTCACAAACAATTCTTTAGTAGCCTTGACTCCCAGTAGGTATGAAAGTCCTGACTGCTTTCTGGGCTGGTGTTGCTGAAACAGAAGTCAGTGCTAAAAAGAAGAAAGTGGAGACACCGATAGCGACTATCTTAGATTTCTCACCAAAGAACAATGTATCATTCTGGTGGAGAACATAAACAGTAAGGACGTCGAGGTCAAGTGTATGCCTGGTGGTGGAGCCACGACTCTGTTGTTGGAGGTGGCTAGGAGACTGAACAGACTGGGGGACACTCTGCTTGTATGTAGGTCACGAAAGGGAGGGACGGAGGCTCAGGTTTGTTAGGATTTAGTCAGTGGATGTAGTTAGGTGTTATTGCCATTTGTCAACATTGGTAGTCGTATCCAGTCACAGATTAACAAATGTTATACCCCAAATGAACATCGTAAATGTGTCCTCAGGAAGAACCTCTACTTTAATAGGCCTCAACATTTGAACGATTGCTTGAAACCTGTAGCTTAAGTTGTGTACAAACCCTGTTTCCAGGTCAGTGTGCCCATCAGCTGTAGCAGCAGAGGATCTCAGTATGGTGGACATGTCGTCCTGCGTCAGATATAGTCGATGGAAACCAACACGGTCATGGCACAAACAAGCGGCCAACATTGGCGGTTTTAGAACCAGTGAGTATATTTACATATTCGTAGAACTCTGAATAGACAGTGCTCGGTACTTGGTAATAAAATACAAGACTCTTTCTTTGTTACACACACTAACATGTCAGGTCATAAAAGGATGTTTATTCTGATAGATTCCGGAGAGAACGAGAACAAACAACACTGGGTTAGAAAATCCACAGTAGTTCTTATGTACTGGTGATACAAAAACAATCATGTCGTATGGAACAAAATCCCATTTTAGTTTGTTAAAGACTTGGACTTTCTTCACTTCAGATCAACTGCTTTATCAAAGAACTGAAGTCCCAAATGTTGGAGGTAGAATGGTAATGTACACTTCTGAAAATAAGTTCCTGGTGTCAGGGTTTTGAGAGATGCTTCTTACTACATAAACAAATAAATGCATCCAAACATGCCAACAGCATAATATTTCTCAAATGAGTCCTCAGTTTGCCACCATATGGGGTTTGAATACATTTCCCCAAACTACCTTTCATTTTCAAAAGATGAACCATATTAATTTGAATACTGGTCTCATGAAGAGACTCACCTCATGATTACTAGTCCACATACGCTAGCATTCCAACCAAACCAGACTTCTGTAGAAATTTCATCTCATTCCAATAATTGATTCGCTGTCAGGAAAGGTTAAAATGGAAGGATTAAAATGTTCCATCAATGTGAAGTTGTATTGTTCCAGATCTCAGGTGATTCATTATAAACAAAGCTTTCATTTATTCTATTTAAACAGGAAGTCGAAGGGATGGAGAAACAAATAGATGTATGTTATCTAATGGTAAGTGTTCATAATAAACCAGCTTTTAATGATGTGAATAACGGATCTTGTGCAAATAACAGCCTCAATAAACATAATGGTAAGATTTTTAGTAAAAAGTATACATTCATGAGTTAGTGTAGGGTGATTATTACACTTCTATTTTTAACAATGTTACAGAATCTTGGAAGGAACAGATTGAACAAATCCTCAGGGACTTCAGTGTGCTGAGAAATATTGAGAGTTTCAAACTGGGATCAACTTGGGACCTATGTCCTATATAAGGATTCCTTGAGGAGTTTACTGACATTTGTTGATTTTGTTTAAGTTCTATTCTACATATAACCATACGTTGTTTTGTTTACTGGTGTAATCTTAAAAGTGAGTGGGACCAAAATCCTGTCCATTTTGGTCCATTTATAGAAGCTCTACCGTTACTTTGTTACTTTACATTTACAACCTTGTTTCCAAACATGGACATAATGCACACATATTAGCAAAGATATGGCTGTGTGATAACGTATACCAAATAGTGATTATTGTGTATTTATACCACTTTGACACATTGTGTAGGCTCATGAAGTACGCCATACTCTGGAATACAAAAGCCAAAGCCCCTCACAGCAAGCAAAGTTCAGTATGAGATGTGAGTAGTTGCAGTCAAATCTGGAACGATTATTTTAGATGAATGTGATAATTTGTTACTTATTTACTCTTATTCACTTCAGCTTTGGGTGGTTTCAAGCAACTATCTGCTACACAAGAGGCTTGGCTGTCAGACTTGCATGACGGACTAACACAGAGGAAAAATCTTGTGTCCCGCTTCTCAGATCGGTAAGAAATTGCCAGAGAGCTTGTATATGAATCGCACACAAAGTAGTGACTAACAATCAAGGCCTGATGATGAAAGACCAGTGTGAGTAATCTATGTATTTTGTTTCAGGTCATAATCCAAGATAAAACGGAACAGATCTGTCAAGACGTTAAAATGTTCTCTTGAGAGAAGGTTTGTTGTGTTGGTAAATAAGACCAGATGATCACCATACGCCTCTAACACTCTGTAGCCAAATAAATGCTGTCGGATTTGATAGTGTCCCTCCATCATTTCACCTGTCCAACTTCCATTCTTGACCATCGATCCAGTGTCTCTTATAACACAGAAGCTTTGTCAACCTTCATCTCTCCATTCAGTTCTCCATCCATGTTTCGGGGCGATTGGGTAGCCTTGTGGTTAAAGCGTTCGCTCATCACGCCGAAGGCCAGGTTCGATTTCCCACATAGGAACTATATGTGAAGCCATTTTTGTGTCCCCTGCCATGATATTGCTGGAATATTGCTAAAAGCGGCATAAAACCAAACTCACTCACTCCACACCCATCCATTTTCTTCTCTTTATCCGCTCTCCAGCTACCCAATTCTGTGCCTCACTGCCATGCTAATCATCTCTCATTCTGCCTCCGTCATCTTCCCATGCACCTGCTCTTTATCTTTCCATTCACCATCTGTATCTAGTTATTTATCTACCTATTATATATTGTACCAAAGGAAATGAAATGAGAGTTCAGATATTGACATATTTAGAAAGCAATGTGTAGTACAGCAGCTGTAAAACATTTTCACAATATCTGATTCTTAATTATAGTTTCTGTTTTGTTCTTTTGATCTTTCAGCTTTGGGGATAACAGAAGCATACAGAATCAGAAACAAACCGTTGCTATGGTATTGAAGTGGTGACACACATTGTAGCACTCGAGGTATTCTTGAAGATCAAATTATCTAATTATCTCGAGAATCAATCCTGTGCCAATATCATAAGGATTGAAGAAGTTGTAGTGATCAGTTCCACAGGAATGTCCGTTCACTTAGGATTCCACTTGTTACTTCAAGATCAAGGGGAGGTAACTTGTCATTTCTATTCTAGGTTGGCCATGTTCAAAGTCAGACATTCAACAACAAATGGGTAAGTTGCAAGTTGTGTTTGTGTTTCTTAGTTTGGGCAGGATTCAAAATGGATTTATCATGACTGCACGTTGCTCTCAATTCACCCCTCTCAATCTTGGATGAAGTTAGTTTCAACAAAATCTTTGTTTTGCTTGTTCCAGAGATGTTCCACATTGAATCAGAGAATGCAGGAATGGAATCTAATATCCCAGTACGTACCTTACTAAAACCCTACCTTCCTAGTAGGGTTGCAGCCCTAATTATCTGCTTTCATATTTAATATTATGTTTTGATTGCTCCATATTTAGGAAAGATGTATGTTATCTTTAACTGAAGTCTGTCAAGATAAGAATTATAGAAAGCTGACATATCAACTAATACCATTGAATATAAAACCAGTCACAGATCACATTACTGTATACATTTCAGCGGGTATGGAAGGAAGGTGGCCAGATAAAACGATATGGAAACTGAGGTTCAGAACACTGATGGAAAAGATCCACCAGAGGCCGTAAGTATCTATGAGTGTCCTTCAGGTTAGTTCTGCTTGTCCAGTAGTACATTGAGCAATAACAACTGTATCTAGTTTGAAGATGAAATGCTGCAGGATGTTTCCTGTGCAGCAGGTTGCTTCCTATAATTTGTGTCTGCAAATTTCGGTACAGTAATTAGGTCATTCACTATTGAAGGTTACCCTGAACAGGTTTATTGTATCTTCTTTGAGGAGGCATTTTTAGAGTTGTAAAGATGAAAGGAAAACCAAGTTCTGTGGATAAGTCAACTTCTTTATTACAATAAATGCCACGTCGTCTCGGAGTAGATACTAACACCGTTACCAAACAAATTGATACAAGGAGTTGAAACAATGAGAGAGTATACATAGCTGCATAGTGAGTATATACAATTGACAATCATGATGTACATTACTGGGGATTACTAATTAGTGATTTGAGCAGAGCTGGTTGATATACAGAGTGATTGGTTTGTGATACAGATTGAGATACATATGCAGAGTGAGTTTATACAATTGATGAGGTAGATGTACACTGAGATGGTTTATCATACCTATAGTTGATGTTTGTTTGCAGGCTGGGACGAGATCAAACACTTAATCAAGAACTGGACAACGTACTGAAGGTAAAGACTTTTCTAATTGTTTATGATTTCACAACAGTTAACACACTGGACCCACACACTGTATGCATGAAAACATTCATAATCATTAATTAATTGTAATACTCATTACTTTCGTTTTGTTGTAGATATATATATTGGGTCCTATTGCTATTTACATATTTTTTTGTTTCAGGACAGGGGATCGTAGAAAAGGACAACTGCGCAAATTATACACGGGTGTGTAATCAGTTTCTAGAAACAGTTAAATGTAACTGAATATCCCATACAGAATTACCACCACTATCACTGTCACTATTACTGCTACCACTATTGCCCTAGGAGACAATGACTCATTTCTGATGACGCATTATTTATGGAAAAGTACATTACGTGATGCATCATATACACACTATATACAATTTTGTTCTTCAGTGGGTGGCAGGCTGTGATGGAATACCTGGCCAACCACAAGGCGGACTTATCTATGCTAGACATAGAGATACCAGGGTTTCAAGTCGTTGAGTACTGTCTATGTAGACTGACAGTGAATTACTAATATTTTCTAGAAAATGACGCAGTTTTATTTGAATTAGTTGACAATAAAAGCAAGTGTATTGCGTGCAAATGCGTGCGTGTGTGTGTGGGTTATAATCCACGTCTGAATCATGACATTAAGCCTGTACCCTAAGAAATTTGAATTCAAATATAAGATTTGTCAGCATGGAAACACTAGCCTTGTGCCTCTGACAACTGTTTCAGGGTTTACCAGGCAGACAACCTTCAACCTTCCCAGGACGTGTCACCTCAGTGCAAGGTACATCAGCGGTATCAACAGTAGGTCACGAGAAGAGATTGGGGAACAGTTCGGGCCTTCAAAGGAAAAGGAGAAGACTTGATGTAAAGTATGACGAGCATTGTTTCTGTCGACACTCTTTCATAATCAGTTGCAAAGGTGAATACCATGTGTTCTTATCATGAGTTGAGAACATGAAATGTACTAAAGCTCTGTACATATCCAACTCCATGCTGATATTGGGAAGCATTTATAAAGGCCTTTCAGGATTTACCCTTGCAGTCATATCAGTATCCGCCAGCCCTTACACCATGTAAAATCACTTCATTAATATTTTCCACTTGATACTTGTTATTTGTTTGTCCACTGTGGTCTGGTAGAAATACACACGATGCATTGGTAGCGGCTTTTAGAATGTACGCTGTCGTTTAATCCGTGTATTCATCTCTAAACAACATAGTTAGAAAACATAATCATATTATGCATGTGTCCAATGAACACCTTGAAACGCCCTCTTTGATTTGATTCCGTGTTATAAAATTAGTCCACAGGCTAGACTATGTAAAATCCAAGGGCAGCAAGACATCAGAGTGAAACATTAGGAACTTCTAACATGTACTTGTCTATCACTTTTCATACAACAGATTATCAGGTTCAAGAACACATCACAAATCTGACAACACAAATAATGCTGGTCAGGACCAAGGTAAGATCCAACGCCAGCATTTGTCCATTCTCCATCCATATAGTTATCCATCTCTGCTCAAAGGCTCATCTTATGTGTTCCTGTACACGAGACATGTTATCCTTCTCACTAATATGTTCATTCAAGTTATCCATCTCCATAAGAAGTATATCTTCTTATTTATACACCATTCACTAGGCACTTCCTTCCATTCCAGTTATCCCATCTCTATCAGCTATCTTTATGTCCTTGTTATTCCACATTTATCTTCACTAATACATTTCAGTTATCCATCTCATCCAGTTATCATATGTGCCATACATAGGCGTTATGTTCTTCCATACATTCCAGTTATCCATACTCTATTATATTTAGCTACTCTTCCATTCCATTTCATCGTTCATCTACTATCATCCACTAATTCCGTTCACATTCTTCATGCTCTATTTCAAGGCTCCACCATTTATGTGTGTCATTCGAGGTCTTTTCCTTCCGGCTCAGGCTCAGTCCATTGTCAGTCAGTCTATATGTGTTACTCTTCCATCCATTCAGTTATCCATCTCCTTTTATGTGTGTCAAGTATCTTGGCCATTCCATCTCCTATCTTATATGTGCCTGTGTGTTCTTCCTTGTATCATTCAGTTATCCCACTCACTGTTTGTGCAGTGTCATTTTGTGTTATCCTGATGTCCATTCCATCTCTTTGTGCTGCCACTGGCTTATGTTCCATTCCATCCCATCTCCTTTATGTGTGTGTGTCTTCTTCCATATTCAGTTGTCCATCTCGTTGTCTGTGTGTGTCCATCTTCCAATGTCCATCTCTGTGTGTCCTCCCCTCCTGTCCTGTCTGTGTGTGTGGGTTATCCACTTCTGTCTGTGTCTTCCATGTTCCATCCATCTCTCCTTATGTCATTCCTCCATCTGTCTTGTGTGCCATGCCTCCAGGTTGTCTCTCCATGTCATGTGTTGTTTGTTCCAGTTATCCATCTCCTGTCTGTCTTGTGTCCGTGTCCATCGTGTCTGTGTGTTGTGTCATTCCGGATTGTCCATCTCTGCTGTCTGTGGTTCGTGCATCCATATCCTGTGTCTTGTGTGCCTTCATTCCGTTATCCATCTCCTTTATATGCCTTGTGCAGTCCATTCATGCGTTCCTGTCAGTTATCCATTTTCCATTCATGTGCCTCCTTTCCTTGTGTCCGCATTTCCTCTTCTTTCCATTCCACCTCCTTTCCTTCCATTCCTATATTGCCATTATGTGTCCTTGTGGTTTCCGTCCCTGGCTCCATTCCTCAGTTCCTGTGGGGTCTTCATTCCGTGCCGTACCTTCCTCATTATTCCTCCTCGTATCCATTCCACTGCTCTCATTGTGCCTTCCATCATTCCACATCTGGGTCGTTGTGTCCATGGGATTGTCATCACCTCCCTATTCCATACCTGCCTACTACTAGTCCATTCTTCATTCCATACCCTCCTGGGTCCACCTCCCTGCCTGTCCACCTCCCCTACCTGTCTCCACTACCTACTGTCTTTGCCTGCCACTTGCCTCCCTTCCTCCACTCACTACCCCTGTCTACTTACCTCCCTCCACTCCTCCTACATGCCTCCTCCCTCTGTCACCTGCCTGCTTGCCTCCTCCTGCCTGTCTGTCCCTGCCTGCTTGCCTCACCCTGCCTCCTGTCACCACCTGCTTGCCTCCCTCCACTCCCCTGCCTCCTGCCTCTCTGTCTGCCTGCCTGCTTTCCTCCTCCCTCCCCTGCCTCCCTACCTCTCTGTCTACCTGCCTCTTGCCTCCCTCCTTCCCCTTGTTCCTGCCTCTCTGTCTGCCTGCCTTCTTGCCTCCTCCTGCCTCACCCCTGCCTACTTACCTCCTCCTGCCTGCCCTCTTGTCCTCCCTCCTTCCCCTCCCTCCCTGCCTACCCCTGCTTACATGCCCTCCTGCCAAAGGCTATGCCTTACATGAGGCTGCCGCCTGCATCCTTCCTCTCCTGCCTACCTGCCTCCCCTACCTGTCTGTCTATGTGCTTGCATTCTTTACTGTGCCTTGTTGTGTACGTCAGCGCTCTTGCGGATCATCAGGACAGATGAGACAGTGACTCATGGAACTGAAACAGACAATGGCTGTCTGGAAGGATGGGTTTTTCACAGTCACCACATTAAACATATTGTTTGCTGGCCGAATCAAAAGTTTATTATTTTGTTCTTATTTAAGTTTCAATACAAAATGTATTCATATACTACTGAAGAGTTAGAGTGCCATTCTTTCAGGCGACTATAGTTTATCTGCATTGAGTGGTGGATAACCACAGAACTCGAGGTGTCAGTGTTCTTTACTTGGTTGGTTGGTTGGTTGGTTAACGTCGCACTCTCAGCAATATTACAGCTATTTGGCGGCCGTCTGTAGCAAATAATCGAGTCTGGACAGAGACAGTTCAGTGATCAACGACAGCATCGATCTCCTGTTAATCAATTGGAATACTATGGTATGTGTCAGCCAAGTCAGAGCCTGACCACCCGACCCCGTTAGTCTCCTTTTAGCGCATGACAAGCATGGGTTACTGAAGATCAATAATTCTAACCCGGATCTTCACGGGGACAGTGTTCTTTGACTTTTCTAGTAGTATATATCAATAAGTGCAATGTTATACTTTGTTCGGAAGGACAGGACTGCTGAAAAAGGAGTCGTGTCCCAACGTGAAGCAAAACACCGGTTGGGAGTATTTTGGGAACAGCACCATGGCTAAGTATTTTCTACCACATGATCGTGACACATGTATGGATACAAAGGCCATCCTTTGGTACACGTTAGATTGCTTTTTACCAAGGTGCCTTCACTTAACCACCACAGGGACCCTAGGAAAAATACTACCCACATAGGTGTCCTCCTTCCCCATCCCATATAGGTAATAATGTATATACACATTAAATAAACATTGTTCACGTGGAGGTTATGAAGACATTTACACATACATATGATGCTGTATTTTCTTTTTTGTCGTCAACCAGTCTACATGTTCATGTAGAAACGTCCTTGTGTACTAGATATTTCAATCCGTTGCAAACCACTACCAAACTGTTTTTATGCATTGTATGTTGGAAGTGTATACTTTAACATCACAGTTTTCTCTTAGCTTTAAACTTGAAAGGGAAGGGTTTGTGATGTTAAAGGAGTTATATTTGAAAGGGATTCAAATAGAACACACACACACACACACACACACACACACACACACACACACACACACACCACACACACACACACACACACTCTTTTACTTATGATATAATCAGAAGAGTATAAGCAGACACAGCTTTTAGCAGAGATTTGCTTTGGTTATGGTTAGGTTTTTGTTGCCTTTGCAGGGGACAAGACAAAATATTTTGAGACAATATAATGAATGATTTGCTGGGAATACAAAAATAATCTATATTATGTTATATCGTGACTATTATCTGTGAAGTCCCAAAACAAATTTGTATATGTATGCGTCCATTTGGCAAACAATGCAAAATGTTTCATACCAGACACTTTACCTAAATATTTTCATACATTTGACTCTCACCTTTCAGATTATGGAAGCAGTGTACACGTTGTTGGACTGACACGTCGTCCTCTTCTGGTTTTCATGTAAAGGTATTTCCGAGAACAAGTGATGGGATGACTGAACGTTCTTTAAACAACACAACAAGTGAATCAAAGAAACTGTTAAGATATCGTATCATGGTTGCTAATGATCAGGTCACCTTTATCATTAAAAACATTAAAATGGTCAGAAAGCTATCTTTTGCCATATACGGGCGTAGTAAGTTAACATTTTCAAAGGTTGGTCCAGACGTCAAATAAAACAAAACAGATAATTTAAGCCAACACCAGACAATAACCAGTCTCCAGTATCCAACCGGTACGCCGATTCAGATGGACATAAGAGGGACGTCAGCCCACCAACAGTTACATCAACCCAGTAGATGTAAATACAAAATATGAAGGCTAAGAGGATAACCGGTCTTCATCATCCACCGAGGGCGAGACGTAGTTCCGAGCTTTAATCACTGCAGCAGAGTGTATGTGTGTCATACCTGTTCTCATCGCTGTCGTGCCGCGAAGGCTAAAATATATACTCCTCAAAAGAAACGCATCATGAAAATAGCAATTTCATGTAGCAATGAATTAAACGTGATTCATTTTACAAAAGGGTTTTCTCTGTTTATAAGTCCTATGGTGTTTATTTTTGAAACATCACAACAAAACGCACCATCCGTAAAATACCCGTAATTAACAGCATGATTTTCGATTTCGGCGTGTAGTGTCACTTGAATACACAATTCACATGCAATGCACGTGAAAGTTAGGGGATCAGATAGTCTCAATGATGGGTATAAAGATTGATCGCTGTCTGTCGATTATTCACTGTATTTGGAATATTTGTTGACGAACGCAAACTGCCACATCTAAGTGAAGCCAACCGTCATATCGCCATTGGTTTGCTTGAAGCTGGCCAGTCCGACGCATGAATGTTCACCAAAGCACCATTTCACGGCTCTGGGAGATATCGCCGGTAGAATGTGGTAGCAGATGCCCTTCGTAGTGGGGCGACCTCGAGCGACCACTGCGGCGCAGGATCGCTACATCCGGGTACATCACCTGCGTCATCGAACAGCTACGGCGACCAGTACCGCTCGACAAATAGCCGGATTGAGGAGGCTTTCTGCACAGACCGTCAGGAACAGGTTGAGAGAGGCTGGTTTACGTGCCAGAAGACCTTCATTTTGGCCCTGTGCTTCGACAACAACATCGTCGACATCAAGTTCAATGGTGCACCAACGTTCAGGCCTGGAACCTACCGAATTGGCGTAGAATCTGGTTCAGTGATGACTCACGATTTCTATTGGAACGACGCGATGGAAGAATGCGGATGTACAGACGTCGACGTGAACGTTTCGCCGACGCTTGCGTTCCCCAGGTGGACAGATTCGGCCGGGAAGTGTTATGATGTGGGGAGCGATCACCTGCCGTAGGAGAAGTGATTTGGTGATGATCCAGGGCAACCTGACAGCTCAACGGTACTGTGACGAAATCCTACGCCTACACCTCCTTCCAGTCATTGATCGCCAGAGGGAGTTGTTTCAACAGGACAATGCCAGGCCCCACACAGCACGTCACACTAGAGACTTCCTCCAGAACCACAACATCAATGTGCTCCCCTGGCCCTCAAGATCACCGGACTTAAACCCGATCGAACATCTGTGGGATGCCCTGGACAGACGGGTGCGACGCCGTAACCCTCAGCCTCAGACACTTCAGCAACTCGCACCGGCACTACAGGCAGAGTGGTCTGCGATTGGGCAACACGAGATTCTGAGACTTATTCGTTCGATGCCGAGGCGATGCCGTGCAGTTCTGGCTGCCCACGGTGGTCACACGAGGTATTGACTTCAGCGCCACCACACGTCTCCATGTGACACTCAAACTGACTTTCGGTGCCAAAGACGGATAAGTCTGCATTCCCAGTGTGCAATTTCGCTATATTTCATTGACTCATAAAGCCTACAAGATGTTTCAAAATAAACATAAAAATACAGTTGAAATTCCTATATGCGTTTCTTTTTTGGGAGAGTATATATTTCGGATATCCCGGGGGAGCTAATTTTCCCAGGGTGTAGGGGAGTACTGCCAATGCTAAAGATACTGTGAATAATTTCAGGGAAGGCATAATCCTTGTCGGGGAGTAGATCGATCTATGGATATGGGGTAATTTCTTTTAAAAACATCGTGGATTTTATTTAGTAGCGTGTACACATTATTTTAGACTTATTTATCTTCGAAGTGTATACCTACGCTTATAAATGCCCAGGTGTCTGGTTGCAAGAACATTTAGATATAAATTTTAGCTAAATATGACAATGGAACCTTATTGTTATAATTTGTAAATCAAGAAGAGCGGGTGGTTTGTTTTATAATGTTTTTTAATTCTTTGTATGAGAATCTCGTTGAGCCTGTCTTATCATATGGTTCGGGAATTTGGGGCACTAAAATTCAATTGTATTAATGCGGTACAGAATCGAGCCTGTAGATTTTACTTAGCAGTTGGCATGGAAACCCAACTTTGCTTGCCCGTTGTGATATGACCTAGACCTTCGTGATAACAAAGCACAGAATTGAAATACTCAGATTCTGGCGCAGATTACAAACTGCAGGTTATTCAAAGGAACACAAAGTACCGTTTGCAGATAAAATGTCAGGGGCGGTGGGGTAGCGTAGTAGTTACAGCGTTCGCTCGTCACGCCGAAGACCGGGTTCGATTCCCCACATGGGTAAAAATGTGTGAAGGCTCATTTCTGGTGTCCCCGCCCTGATATTGCTGGGAAATTGCTAAAAGCGGCGTAAAACTAAACTCAATCCACTCAGCTCAATTTCGTAGATCCTGGAATAATATTGTATTCAACCATTTCATTTTCCATTTACCAATTTATGATTTGAATAATATCTCAACTGACGAGTTTTGTTGTCTAAAGGCTGCCTTCTGTCTCTCGATTACTCTGATTGGTTACACGGGCTTTGAAATGATTCAGGCCAAACTAGTCGGTAATACATTACGTACATATCGGCGAAGAGCTCAGCAGTGAAAACAAGGTATTTCTTCAGCTATTTTAAAGCGTGCCAAGGTTGTTGGACCAGAATCTGAAATTTGAGGTTAGTTGACTTTGTTGATGACGATGCTGCTGGACGGTACAGCGATGGGAATCAAAGACGGTGAAGTTCTTCACCAAGTCTTCGTTCCCCAGAGTCGGTCTTTTGAGGAAGCTTTCTGAGGAAGCCATTGCATCGGTGTGTGTACATGCAGTGTGTGTGGAACGAAACGGAATAACAATCCCACCAAACTCCTTCGCCTGGATAGAAGTCGGCTGGTCTTAAATGTAAAACTGAGGGCTTCCTTTTAGCTGCTCAGGATTGGTCACTTCCCTCTCGCAATCGCCTAAAATCAACGATTCTTAAAGAAAATATCAATATGGAAATATCGACTTTGCAATGAATAAACGGAGACTGTCCAACACCTTGTCAGTGGATGCCTTCCTTGGCACAAACATTATATCTTAAAACGACATGCTCGCGGCAACGCTGGCTGGCTCGTTGCTTTTGCTACCGTCTCTGACAATGCCTGTGCGCTTTGACTCCGAGTCCATCCATGGTACGACCCTGAACATGTCAGGACGTGTCATGAGAAAATGATGCTTTCAAACTTCTGTGGAATAGGCCCATATACAGCCTCAGAAGAATTCCCGCCAACAAACCTGATCTTGTGCTTTTTTGATAAAGCCAATGAATTTATTTATAGTCATTGAATTTTTTCTTCCTTTTGACGCACCAATGTGATTGGCAAGATTAAGGAAAAGCATGATAAATATGCGGACCCTCGCCTTTGAAATGTCTCGCTTGCATCCCAAATTACACTGTCGTCAGGCTCCCCATTATATTCTCGGTGCCCTTGGTTTTGGTACCTCTGATCTCTTGGCACCGATCAGGGAGTGTCAGGAGTTCTCCACCAGGCTATTACCAGCCCTTCAGACACTCTGAGGTAATGCATAAGGCTGCAGTGTTCAGGGAGCCTTCATATTCTCAGAGAAGTTCTTGAGGTGGGTTCGACTAGGCAGCGTTTCCTGGGAGAAGTCCCATTCGCTATACCTGGGCTTCGTGTAGAGGGGCAAAGGGCCTGAGCTGATGATAGAGCCTTACCAGGCTGACTGTGCCAGGATCACCAGAACCCTCTCCCTACTGCATTTTTTCATCTTTAATCTATGGAAACATATAATATAGTTTATTTTTGAAAATACGCCATACATTCATTATTAACACACCGGGCCATTAATGCAGGCGAAAAGACACCCTAGTGTAAAATTACAAATATTTCCCAAATATTCTTTAAAACAATTTAAAAATTCAGCATGCATAGAATTCAACCCAATACAAATATGTTCTTACATACCTCACACCAGCCATCCCAATCGCTGACCGACAGAGCTCTGACCCCAACCCTAGCCACGCTTCCCATATCGACCAAGAGCCCACCTCTCCCCAGGGAGTACTAATTCCCAGATCGACACACACCCCGACCCTTGATAAACTTTACCCTCCACCACACACATCCACCCACCCCTCACCCAACCTCCTCAGCGCACGCGCTCACACGTGCACGCTCTGATATACTCTGCACTTCAGCCCGTCCCTACACACACGCACAAGAACACTCTGTTCACTGATTTTCAACTACATTCAATTTTCCAATCATAAGCCGTCTGAACCAAGTTATATTTTTCCCAAATCAATCAAACTCATACATCCATTCATACACATATCTAATCAAGTCAGCCCCTCCACTCAGCCTAGCCGTCAGTCATTCTTTCTTTACGTTTCCTACACAGCAGTTCCGTACACAAGCTTCACACACTCCAGTTAACTTCTTGGAACCTTATGTTGCCATATAATGTTACTCAATAGATCCCAACAACGCAGTATTTTACGGTACATTTCCACGTGACCAGACTGCTCAGAACTTTCGTTATCTTGAAATTACATTGACAGTAGTCTGTTATTGTGTGGAGAACCTACAACGGGTTTATATGGTGTCAATATGGAGTTGATAATTTAATGTCCAATTAAAGAAAAAGAATATGAAGAATAGACTGAAAAGTGGTGATCCAGTAAGTTTATTGCTATTTTATACGTTCAAAGCTTAGAAGTATTCGCGTTGATCCCTGTTTTTAGCTGTAATTTGTGTGAGCCTCTGGAGTGAGACAGCTATGTTCATTTCCAGCCACCATAGGCATTGTTTATTGCAGGTACCGCCAGAGGCTGTCGCTCATTCAACCGAGAAACGTCAGCAATTTAGTTTTCCGGCCTTGAACCTCCCCCATCATTACCAAAGATTTGAAGAAGTACGTATCCGCTGAATGAGGAAGGATACATGGAAGTGTCAACCCCAGTAGATTGTTCATAGAGGGTTTTCTAAAACTTTACATGCGTATTTGCACATGTTCTGAAACAAGGTTAGTTTACGCAGTAGGTAATAGATATCTCATACTGCTCATTCCGCCGAGAACGGACTATCTGCAACTTTGGGAGACAGCTCACATCTTTATTCTCAAACAGAGTCTTTGGAAACGTGTAGAAATCGATGAATTTCTCGGAATGTTTTTAAGTCAGACATTTTAAGTCGTTAGTTCGCAATTAGTTTTAGTGTTGATGTCCTCCGCTGATTAATTTTAGAATGCAGAATATTAGAGGAATAAATACTTTTAATTGTTGTGCCATAGTTTTAGGAAAATAAATTCTTAAACCTCGATGGCATTCCAGCTTTGTGGCTTACGTCTGAGTTATTCTCATAAATATATCCACATCATAATATTTCCCTGGAGTGGGGAAGTATTCTGCAAGGTACCAGGTACTTTTTCACTTTGAACAAATTAAAGAACTTGAAGGTGTCAGTGCTGATAATTCCTAAAATTCTCGCACACTTTTTACTTTTCTAAAATTAATAATGTATCATCACGCATTTTAAGATGCATAAATATCGATGGTGTTCATAGACAAGGCATGGTTCAAAGATAGATTCTGTAGACCAGAATAACTTGGTAGCAATGAAATCAGATTGCTCTCTAGTCGCCGGTCGGACCTCAAGTCAAGAGTCAGGTCCTAATTGGTACAGGAAGCCTTGTGGTTAAAGCGTTTAAAGCTTGTCACTAGAAGGCTCAGTTTTGATTACACACATGGAACAATGATATGAAGCCCATTTCTGGTGAATGCCTCTCGGTGATATTGCTGGATTATTGTTGAAACCGGCGTAAAAGAGCCTAAGCTCGCTCGCTCCACAGAAGTCAGGTCTGTTTTGTCCTACGAGATTTAAACCAAGCATGGATGTTGCATTTAAAGCTTCCAGTAAATGATTATACCATCTATATCACGTGTAATGGTCTGTATTAGTACCCACGGCAAACCAAACTACGCAAACATACGTACGCATTACGCACGCACGCTACACACGCATTGCAGACCGCCTCCCGTGGCGTGAGTGGTTAGAGCGTCCGCCCGGAGTGCGAAGGTCGCGGGTTCGATCCCCCGACCGCGTCATACCAAAAGACGTTAAAAAATATGGTGCTTGTTTGGTCCCTACCTGGCGCTCGGCATCAATGGGACCAACAAAAGGACTGTAGTCGAACTCGGAGTCAGTATAATGTGTCTTGAGTGCGGGGTATTCGTAGCTTCCTGCGGCACTGTGGTATCTCAGTGGGCTAGCACTCCTAAAACCAGCTTAAGTCTGGGCTGGAGTACAAGCAGCCACAGCATACACATACACACGCACGCATGTACGTCTTGATAGGACTGAAAATATTCTCAAGCACGACGTTAAGGCCCTGAATTTCACCTCACCTCACAGCACGCATTGCGCGACCTCCCACCAGCTCAGCCGAGGACTGCGCTGACCGTCTGTCGAGTAGAAAGAGTGGACACAGTTGCAACCAGTTCATGTAAAATGCTGTTTCAAATATATTGGGTTATGGAGTTAATTTCCACGCAGCCTATTCAACTTTTCCATCCCTGATAAAGTGGGAAATGTTCAAACAAACAGAACAGGAAGTAAAGACATGTATTGCTTCGACATCCAACCGTCTTCATTGCTCAAAAAACGCACATCTGTCCGGCATTAATTGATCTCCAAACCATTACACTGATGTCGGTACAATTTATAAAGACCATAGAACTGCTTCTTTTCCAACACTTGAATAACGGTAGAAGTTAATAGAAGTTTGGCCATCGGCATCTCCTGACCAGCGTTGAAAAGTAATGAAGCATGTCGCGACACACTGACTGGTGAATTGCAACTGTAAGGAGAGTGACTGCAAGAGCGGACATAAGAAGTTGCACCTGTTCATGTGGTGTATGATGAAGAACACAAAATGCTCAAAACTACTCTAAAACCTGACACTGTTAAGTTTTATTTGTTTTACATATAATGCTTGACAGATTCATATAGAATCTACACACAAACACTTTTGTTGAGAAATCCACTTACTGAGATCGTATTTTGTCTCCGAACATCGTCCACGTCTGGCAGATATCACAGCAATGGGGGAGTAAATCAGAAGTGTACTAAAGGAATTCTTTTTATATTACGTTTTTGTATAAAGCTAATCCGCTTTGTTTTCTTAATGAAATGCATTTTTGGATTGTCGTAGTAAATATTTTTACGTAATAAGTAGGCCTTTAATACTTAGGCTCGAAGTAGTGGGAGATATTCTACACTGATGAAAACTACGAACGAACTTATTCAAGCGCACTGTTTGGAAACAATCCACAATCAACCGATATTTTAGTAAATATCTTTTCTGTGTCTCAGTTTGTGATAAACAAATTAGAATGAAACTGCTACACAACCAAATGCAATGTTTATTTCCGGGTCCTAAACTCCACCTGGACGCGGCACGGGCCAACACAGACTACTGCCACGTAACTACGGGCGGTCCAGCTAACAAGTTAACTTGCTGATCCCTACACACACGGGATGTGGGGCAGAACAGACTACAGGAGTACAAGGGGACCTGTAGCTCCCCATCCCCTTCCTCTCATCCTCACTCCACCCTCCACACCCCTACACCCACCCCAGATACTGGGAGACTGAAACCAGGGTGAGGGTGGATGATAAACTGTACCACCTGCCAGTCCTGGAGATGGGACTCTGCGAGGGCGGGACAGGTGGACAGTGGGAGGTATGTTTCTCTACAGCGCCGCTCCTGGTGTGTAATCCCTAGTGGTAGGGAGCTGTGGCAGACACTGGTGGAGTTTCTGTACCTGGGTGTGTAGGGAGGAGGAAGCTGGGGCAGTGTCAGCCGGGAACACCATGTCCCTCACTCCCGGCACACAGGCCACCCTCCACTATGGCGTTGTACTGGATGTGGGGAGAGGGACGAGTGGCATTCATTGACCTGGACAGACAGGTTGTTCTAGGCAAAGTATGATGTTGAGTTCAGTGAGCCACTCGTCCCCATGTTCGAATGCTGGAGCCCGCCAGCAATACTGGCTACACTGTGTCCATGAGTCCTGATCAGCGGGAGGGGACATCTTACGCAGCTGACACGAAGGAGCTCCTCATCTACCAAGCTGAAATAGAAAATTAACTCGCCATGGAACTGTAAGAAATCAGCCATGAGACTGTGTATGAAGTCAGCCATGAGGCTGTGTGGGGAGTTATCTGTGTAAACGGAGATGTTTCTATCAACTGTTTCAAGGAGAAAGTAGAGAAGAAGCGGACATAGAAGGGTTCAGTTTGTGTTCTGTTTGTTTGTCTACAAAATACAACCAAGTTCTTCGGATGTCTGCTTTCACACCACTTTCCTGGGATTCTCCTGAGAGACTGGAAAACATTTTAAAAATACTCACATGAATATCAGTATGAGTGAAATTATTGCTGTAGACGATGTAATTGTCCAAGCAGTAAATGATTCTAATGACGATGTGATGTAAGTCAAAGGGACACAGAAGAAGTGAACACACAAAAGGTAAAAAATTGTTTCAAAACCAGATTTCTTCAGCTTATATTGATATTTTATAACTAAATAGAAGTTTTTGAATCCACACACAATTGTTGATATATTGAAATTATCACAGTAGTTGATGTGAATATGTCAGAGTGAAAACTCACAAGGAAACCACTCAAGAATCAGGTGTTTCCACAAAATGTCCAAAATCATTCAAACAGGATTTCCCCTTATTATACAGAGCGGTGCCGGGTATTGCAGCTAACACCACATCCCACCTAATTCCAGCACACACACACACACACACACACACACACACACACACACACACACCTCTCTCTCTCTCTCTCTCTCTCTCTCTCTCTCTCTCTACCTCTCTCTCTCTCTCTCTCTCACTCTCACACACACACACAGATAGTGGGAGACAGAAACATCCAGGGTGAGGGGTGGCGGGACTGTACTGCCGGCCCTGGAGATGTAAGATAGGACTGTGTGAAGGAGGCAGGACAGGTGGAGCAGTGGGATGCATGTTTCTCTACATCGCCGCTCCTGGTGTGTCCAGTGTAGAGAGATGTAGACAGACACGAGGGAGCGTCCACCAGAACAACATGTCCCGCACTCCCGGCAGCACACAGGCCACCCTCCCACTATGGCGTTGTACTGGATGTGGGAGGAGACGATTGGCATTCATTGATCTAGACAGACAGGTTGTTCCTAGACAAAGTATAATGGAGCGATTCAATGCCAATGGTTCAATGAGCCGATCGTCCCCATGTATTCGGTGTTAGGTTTCCGTATTCTGGCCTTACTGTGTCGAAGTTTGATCCACGGAGAGGACATCGACATGACTGACTTTAAAGAAGGCTCTCATCTACCAAAGCGCTGGAATAGGGAATTAACTGGTTATGTGGGCCATCAGCTGGTGGTGGAGTAGCTCTTCATTGCGACCGCCTGTTGTGTACTCTTCACCCATTAATAGGAGGAGGCAGGGTCTGAGGTGAAATGGGGTTTAACGTCGTACTTGAGAATATTTCGCTCCATATGACCACAGGCATGCGTGTAATGTGTATGTGGCTGCTTGTACTAAGCCCAGACTTAAAAGCTGGTTTCATAGTGCTGGCTCACTGTGATACCATGCACCAGTTAAGCATGAATACCCCTCAAACTCATTATACTGACTCCGAGTGTAGTTGATAATTTAAGAAACATGGAGAAATTAAATCAGACAACGATCGCCTAGCAAAGTACTGATGCACGTTATGGTAACTTATCATTTAAGATATACGCACTTAAGATCCGAGGTTAGAATTTGTCTCCAACAACACGCTTGTCATAGAGGCAACAAACGGGGCCAGGTGGTCAGGGCTCAAAACTGACTTGGTTGACACATGTCATCGTGTTCCAGTTGCGTAGCTCGATGTTCAATGACGTTAATCACTGGATTGTCTGATGTGGACTCCGATTGATACAGACTACTTACCATATGGCTGCATGGAATATTGGTGAGTGCGGCATTAAACAAAACCCAAAACAAACAAAATAAATAGAATTAACATGAACCTAAAGCCTGGAAATACAATTCCGAGAGACAAGGGAGGGTAAAACCTGTTATCCTGCTCATGCTACTAGACATGGGCAATGGTTATCAACAGAAGTAATAGATTACATCTAATAATGATTATACTCTCGTATTGTGGAACTAACGCTGCCTCCTTTAACAATTCCGATCGTCATATAGGCACGAATTATTCTCAAGCTACGACGATTAAACCCCAATTTCCACCTCACCTCCACCTTTAACAATTCGAGACTATATATTCATTGAAAACAGAAGTGTAATATAAACCGCACTTTCCCAACTTACACATTCAAGTGAAACCACACTGATCATTGTTTTCAATACCTGTAGAAAAACCTCTAAAATGATTGGTGCCTTAAGAAAATATAAATATATATTGAATAGGAAATATTATCAAGATTTTAAGAAACAGCGTTTATATAAGCCCACATTTTGAATATGCATGTGAGAGGTGTCTGATTGAAGATTCGAACAAGTTCCAGAAGTCTACAGCAGGGAGGGCAGCTCGTATAGTAGCTGGCTACCCAAATAGACGCCGAGTAGAGTTCTTTATTACGAGACCGGATGGGAATTGTTATCAGAGAGAAGAAAGAAGCGTAAATTGAGCTTGTAAGACTAAACATAATATCGCCTCGTCTTTTTTTAAAATGAATTGTTACCACCGGTTTGTAGGAAAAAGAACTCATTATAGCTTACGTAATGCTGAAAAATTATTCTGTGCCCAATACAAGACTAAAATATTCATTCTCTTCATTTAAACCTGGAACCATCTCCCCTTGAGCTGTAAGAAACTGTGACTCAATTTCGTCATTTAATAGATATATTAGATCAATGCGTAATAGTGCCCTCTATATCACTTTTTCATCTGGTATACGTAAGCATACATATTACACACAAGGTTAAGATACAAAGTAAGTACGCTCAACTATGAGTTATATAGAATCAACAATATAATTTATATCAAGATATCTTGGATTGTCCCCGTTATAAAACACATGCAGAAACTTTGTCAGCTAACATATGAAGTGATATCTTACAAAATAGATATTTACGGAGATATATGTCTTATTTTATATAGCCAATGCAGGCCTCTCGTTGAAGAAAATCTGAACATCTTCAAACATGTCCATCAGTAACATCAATCAAACTAAACGATTCCTCTGTTCTATCTAATCCTGGTATATTCTCAAACTCAAGATCTCTCATGTATATGTTCTCTGTTTCTCATGTAAATATAATTGTTGTAACTATTGGGAGAGGGCGTCATTAAGTTGGATAACGTGTGCCCAATCCTTTTTCTTGAATAAAAATATGTTTTAAATCAAATCAATACCTGTGGGTCTATTATTGTTACGGTATACGTGTAGAAATAAAGCGCTTCTTGACTTGCCGTTGCTGCATAAATGTATTTTAAATTACTTGCGGCAAAAGTAAAGAGTCTGGCTGTAAGAGGCGACAAACGGCATCGTGTGGTCAGGTTCACTTGAAGTTGACACGTCATCGTATCCCAATTGCTTAGAACGATGTTCATGATGTTGATCACTGGATTGTCTGGTCCAGACTTGATTGTTACAGACCGCAGCCATATAGCTTGGAATATGGCGTTAACCAACCAACCAATCACTCCTGTGATTTCCCCAGATTCAGCCTTGCTCGATGTCTACAGTGTCACAGTAAGAGAAAGAGAAAACAGTGTTTTCTCACTGCTCTCCTTCGACAACAAATTTCACAATTGTCCAAACACCTTTTACCGTTTCCGTCAGTGATGGGGATATGGACGAGTGTTTACTCAATATACACAGCATACAGGCAAATGAGCGTTTTCTGAATCTGGCACTTAGCAATTGCAGAAACTGTTGTGTATTTGAATCCTATACACTTCTAAGGCCGTGGTCAAACAGAACACAATAAGCCATGTCCTCTGCTTTAAAGCGTTTACTCAGGGAAGTGGAGGCTACTAGCACGCAACTCTAATCAACGTTAACTTGCCGCTCACCGTCACATAAGGCTGCATGAGGTTGTCTCCCATATATGTATCTACCATCCATGTCCATACACTATATAAACTATACAAAGGGGAATGTGGGAACTACGTTCTGGAGACCCTGTAGAAACACATGAGTTGTCTCCCCATACATGTATCTACCATACATGTCCATACACTATATAAACTATACCAAGGGAATGTGGGAACTACGTTCTGGACACCTGTAGAAAACACATGAGTTGTCTCCCATATATGTATCTACCTCTACATGTCCATACACTATAGGAACTATACAACGGAATGTGGAGACTACGTTCTGGAGACCCTGTATGAAACACATATTCAACCATCTAAGTCAAGCAACATGTACAGGTTTCACTGAAGTCACCTACATATCGATTTAGTTGATCCTCCCTACCCGTATTTCACCTAAACAGTAATAACATTTGTTGCAAGGAACTGCAAACATCCTTCAACATTTTCAATATATAGGTGATATATGTGCCCACCTTTATTAAAAACTAATGGCGAGATACGGCTGCATGTATCCTTTTGCTCCATGGCTGTACTGAGTGCTAAACCCATGGATGTATAGTAACGTTATCCTTGACAGAGGCAAGCCAAGATAAGCGGACAGTACGTCTCAGTCTGTCACTCCTTTTCTTTTTTTAAAAAATGATTATTTCCCAAACCATTACCTATTGCTTCAGAGAGACAAAGAGACATGTGCAAGTCTAGGTGCATGTAACTCGTGGTTGACTTCGGAAATCTTTATCATTCAATGTGCACAAAACGGAGTCAAACCTGCGTGAACAAAGACAACCAAACATATCACTTCATGCCATTTCAACAGTCATATTTCAACTTCTTTATTCAGATTTATCCTTCAGTGATTAATGGTCAACTGAGATCGTCTGAAAGAGGGGCCCATGAGTACATTTTACACAAGGGAGTTTAAATATACTCAGTACATGATTAAGTCAACCTTGGCTTCTAGCCAGGAAGTTTCAAATTTGCCCAGTCTTGAGTATCCCCAAGCTTTGGAATTTGCTTATAAAACTTTTCGTTTCACTATTTGTAAGCAATGTCTCGTTATTAGAACTACATATAATATATTATCATATCAATTTCCTTGTAAACCCCAAAAGGATATTATGTTGCAGCATTTAGTTCAGTTAAGAATTATTCTATATCAATGTGTATTTATTTGTGAAGGTACGATTTGGGTTTTACTTCTGATTGGACAATCTTGTCGTTATCAGTCTCTACAAATCTATAAAATGTATACGATTTTTCGTTTTAGAAATATTTAGTCTAGAATGAATGGATTCAATCCGTTTAGCCAAAAGCATATCTTAATGCCACATTACATTATTTTGCAAATGCAAAGACATTATTTTCTACCATTAAATTTAAGTTCAATAACATAATCATTAGATTACAAGTAAATTTGCAGAAGTGTAAGTCCATATTGGTTGATTTAATCTACCAGATTCTGAGTTGAATTCTAAAAGTATACTGGACAAAATCAAGTTAGGGATATTGGTATTTTTATGATTGATATTTTATCAGTGTGTCAATGAATAAATAGATCATTATTCATAATTTCAAAATTTTTACATATATATCCCTAACTATTTTTGTCCAGTATACATTGAATTATTTGTTGTGTTTTCCTGTACATGACCATGTAAAATTGTTTTCCGATGTGTACAGATGCAGATTATTTGCTAATACTGTTATAATAAAATGTGGACACGTAAGTAATGAAGGTTATTTTCATAAGTAGCGTCTAAAGAGCACGATGAAGTGAATCTGTCCGTTTGTGTGAATTTGAATAGCCGCAACCCAGCTTTATTCGGGAATGTATGTCCAAAATGTATATCAAATGCAAACTCATGTCCCAGCTGCGGGATGATCTTGACTCTAAAACTACTTACAGATTGTTATGTATTATCTTCAGGAACAATAATACACAAGTGAGTGAGTTCAATTTTTACTCCGCAGTCAGCAAGGCACATTCAGCTAAATGGCGGCGTTCAGGACCAGGCAATCCAGTGATCAGGAACATGCACATCGATCTACATATTTGGGATACGATGACATGTGTCAACCAAGTCAGCGAGTCTGACCACCCGATCCCGTGGTTTCCTACAAGCACAATACACAAACACGAAGGCGCATTATCGTTAACCATTCTGTGATAAGGTATTAACCTCAGAGCTCATCTCCTTTATTCTAGAGGGACAGAGGGGGTAGCCTGGTGGGTAAAGCGGTCGCTTGTCACTCCGAAGGCCCGGGTTCGCTTCCCCAAATAGGTAACATGTATGAAGCCCATTTCTGGTGTCCCCCGCCGTGATATTGCTGGAATAGTGCTAAAAGCGGCGTAAAATCAAACTCACTCACTTTATTCTAGAAGCATAAAACATAGTTCAGTGTACAACTTACTGACTCGCAACCCTTGTTCATTCACATATTGTTCTAAAAGCATAAAGTTCACTTTTAAAGAAGACAGTTCACACAAAAAGAAGACACACTTAATATGAAGGATTTATACATACTTTGGAGGTTTTTTTCTTGATAGACGATAGGTAAAACTATTTAGATAATGAATCATAAATGTGACCCTATCCACAATGTTATTCATATATATAAGTATCAATTTGCATCTTTTGGAAGAATTAACTCTTCATTCATGTTTTTTAACTTCATTTCTTGGATTATTATGCATGAATAATTCAGGTTTTTTAACTTCATTTATAGGATTTTTGTGCATGAATGATTCAGGCTCTTACAATTCATTTATAGAGATTTTTGTACATGAATGGATTCAGGCTTTTTTGGATTTCATTCACGGGATTATTGTGCATGAATGATTCAGGAAAATAGTCCAACAACCTACAATGTCGCCGACCAGCACGTCGTCCTGTCCTCCAACCACGCCATCGACAAACACGACTTCAGTGGGCACAGGGTCATCAAAACTGGTGTCAACGTGAATGTCATATTCTCTGATGAGAGTCGGTTTTGTGTGTCACATGCACATGGAAGGGTCAGATTTGGCGACGTCAAGGAGATCGTTTTTGCTGACAGAAATGTTTTGGAAAGGGATGCATGGGGTGGACCTAGTGTCATGATTAGGGCCGGAATTGGACTTAATGCGAGACCTGGACCAATGTGCTTCTAGAATGTGGGTCAAGGTCGAGGACATTGGGTGACAGCTCAGCGTTACATTGACCAAGTCATCAGACCCCATGTTGTTCCATTTTTCGCCTAACATCGTAACCACCTTTTCCAGCAGGATAACGCTCGTCCACATGTTGCAAGAGTTACCATGGACTTTCTTCAACAACAAAACATCCGTGTCCTACCGTGGCCAGCTCTCAGCCCTGACCTGAACCCCATCACCAAGCACTTGTGGGATGAGGTTCAAAGGCGCCTGAATGAAGTGCGACCAGTGCCTACAACTGCTGATGAACTTCGCACAGCTCTTCTGGATGTGCGCAGGAGGACCCCTAGGGCCTTTACGAACCGCCTGATCCCACTCTATGTACACAGGAGATGTGTTGCAGTGATCAATGCTAATGGTTTGCCACACCAGGTATTGAATGACGTCATGGCAATTGACAAGAATCTGCGCAACTCTTTTGCTTTCACAAAAAGTATCGACGTCATCTGTTTTTGTTGCCAATGAACTGTTCTTGCTCAAATTTCTGTATATCTGACGCTGTTGGTATTTGTATTCTATACTGTTAAAAATAAGTACATATCTACTTTACACTAGACTTGCGTTTCTTTTTGCGTGTGAGTATATATTATCGTGTCAGTTATATATAAATAAAAATATAATAGGCACATAAAGAAACTGTGCATACAAAAATTTAAAATCTATCAAACCTGTGTAGACACATAAGGATTGAAACTCGAGACTAGTGACATGTATCCAACATGCATGCACGTGCCACGTTCCGTGACGTCAGTGGGTTCGTCCTTGAGACGTGCGATACATTGTTGCACCTGCAAGAGAAACAGAGCAAATGAATGCCACACAATACTGTCACTGTGGAAAGCCCAACCCCTGCCCTTGCCATCATTCAAAAAATTAAACGGCTATTGAAACGCACAGCATGCCAAGGCTCACGTCTGCACAACGTCATGAGGCCATTGGGCTGCACATTTCCGCTGCCACCAGAACACCATTTCTGCACGGGTGAGACGCTACCAGAACACAAATGACGTCAACGATCGGCCACGTTCTTGACGTCCACGTGTAACAACGCCAAGACAGGACATATGGATAAGGGTGACCCATCTTCGCCACAGGTTTCAGACTGCAGAGATGACTGCTGATGAACCATCCGAGGACTTCGCCGTATCCACCCCAACACAGTTCGACGTTTACGTCATCACGGGATCAGACCACGACGTCCCGCCATACGGCCTATCCGGACACGTCATCGACAAGCTCGCCGAATGTGGTGCCGAAATCATGTCCGCAGACCCTTGTTTTGGTGGAGAAATGTTGTTTTCCAGATTTAACATTTACCATAGTGATGGACGTCAACGTGCCTATAGACGCGTGGGAGAACGTTATGCACAGGCCTGTGTCTTGGAGAGGAATCGCTTAGGTGGTGGTTCCGTGATGATTTGGTGATTGTTCAGGGCAACTTAACTGGTGTGGGCTACAGGGATCAGATTCTTCGACCTGTGGCAATTCCTTTTCTGCAACGTCATGGCCCTGGGTTAACATTCCAACAGGACAATGCCCGCCCTCATACGGCAAGGGTTGCTATGGATTTCTTGCAACACCACAATGTTGACTTACTGCCTTGGCCTGCAAATTCACCGGATCTCTCCCCGATAGAGCATGTTTGGAACAAGAGATGGGTCGACGTCTACGTCGTCTTCCTCATCCGCCAGATAACGTCCTTGAATTTGTAACAGAAGTCGAGAGAGAATCTGGCGTGACATCCCACAAGCCTTCCTTGCACGTTTGATAGGCTCTATGCGTCGTCGATGCACTGCTGTTTCTCAATGCCGATGGTGGACATACCCGTTATTGAGCTTGTGACATGGTCGTTTGACCCGTCCCGCTTGTGGACTCGTGACGTCATTGTGATTGACTTCTCAATTGAAATTATCCCGACTTGTTATGGTCTCATGATCCTCCATTAAAGTTTATATGTTCCTTTGACATTGTTATGGTACTTATCAACTGGGATAATGTTTTGACAATGCACAGTTTCTTTTATGTGGCTAGTATATAATATATACATTATAACTGGTACTAAGTCGAAACTGCCTGGGTAAAAGGGAATATAAAGTGAGACAAAATTTCAGAGATTGACGGATTATGACGGAGGTGCTATACAGGAGTGGTGTTTATACGCATCATAACAGATATGGTTCAACTTAAAATTATTTCGGTTTACTCCATGATCGACTCATGTCATTTGGTGGTGTTGGGCAGTATTACATGAGGAGGCTGACCTGATTTGATTATTGTTCATGAACATTAAACTGGTCAATGCTGACATATTTGTTCCTGTCGTTCCATTTGTTGTAATTGTCGGGCACACATTTTGATGACAATGCTGGACGTTGTGATCAGGTCGCCATCAGGAAAGCAGGGTTATTGAGTCAGACTTCGCTAAGACCCCTGACATGTCCCTAATAAAGCATCTGTGGAATCTCCTCGGACAGAGTGTACATCCTGAGACCTTAGCACCCAATGTGACTGTCCGGGATTGCTCTTCAGCTCTTGGAGGGCAATGCCAAGGAACCATTACATACGCACTATCAAATGCCTATTCAGTCTTCTTTGGAATGAGAAAAAGAGAAAACACACTCAAGAATTATTGCATCGGGTTTAATTTGAGAACAGATCTGCACAATCGGCATTTGAAACCTAACATAAATACAAACTCAGTCATTATAATAAAATGGAAAATAAATAGGATGACTCTTGTCCTACGACATGACTACTACAATCTGCAAGCAAAGACACTCTTCACCTCTCGAGATGACAAGCACGTTCACCCAGTGAGGTATTTTACCTCGTGTTGAGTTACTATGGTGATGTGAAGAGATCTGGCAGATGACCTCAGATACTGAGACACCCATTTGGTCTGATTCAACTTAGCAGCAATAGCACACAACCCACTACTTGCTGACAACTTACTGACATTTGATCGTATCTCAAATGACAAGACTAATTAGCGGATGCAAGACCTTATGAGTTTCTATGGATTAAATCACTCAAGATTGAACGTTTCCAAACATGGATGAACTGGGTGCCTACTGAAGGCGATCTATTCTGTTTCCTTTAAAACCCTTGTTAACCGAATGTTTTAACTGTTATGGTCAAGAAATATTCGGTTTTCATTTTCTTTTATTTATAACAGCTGTATTTCATCACAAATCTATTTCAAGTTCGACACAAACTGAGACACAGTATCAGATGTCATCTGTCAATGGATGAATGATGGGACATGAAGGCATGTGGTTAGTCATGAAGTTGTCACTTTTCAGTAGGTGTGCTGTAGCAAGTCACTCGCTGGACTGTGCACCTGATGCCATGACAAGGCTGGGCACATGTACATGCTTTAACAAAGGGTCTATGCTCTCTAGTCCGGTGTTTCATGCAAGTTGTGATGTACAAGGCTGGATAATGCAACAGTAACGCTACTTTGGGTTTTATAATCCAAAACTTGTTACCCAGGAGATAAACCAAAATTGTTTCACATTACTTTGCAGATCATTGTTATATAAAGGAGATGGCCACAGCAGCAAGAAATCTCTGAAGTTGGTTACCTGTACTTTTCGCGACTCAAGACTGGTGTTTACATCATGGAAAACTATTTATATGATTTTGGATGACAAACAGCATTTTATATCAACACTACTCGTAAAAACTCAATCTTTAATATTTATAACGATTTGTATTGAAAAAACAGGAAAAAACAAAACATTTGGGTGGGATTCTCTAACATCACAAACAGTCATGCAAAATGTTTTGGATCAACAGATTGAAAATTGCTGGGACTGCCATTTTGTCCAAGCTTAGTCATCCTTTAAATTCTGAAAGTAGATCACAGTACCTGTCACAGCTTCAGTCAGAATCCATGTTAGTGCATGGTATTGTTCTTGAGCTTTTACCCTTAGCTGTTGTATTAACCATAAATGATACAAAACAGAATGAATCATTGCTTGATATGTTTTGAAATACTGAAACTTAACCTGACCATATTACTTGCTACAGCACTGTTACTCTCTCTCAAGAGGAGGATATGAAAATAGGAACAAAGTCAACTCAAAGTTAAAACAGAACAAATGGTATTTCACATCGTGACGGACCGGCGCCTGTTTGTTGAAGAGGATGACTTGTAACTTGAGAGCAGTTATAAACCTGTAACAATATTTTCAGCACAACAACTAACAAACTTCAACTTGATCTTGTCTCTTTGGTTACACTACATATCCCTCCCCCATCAAGAAGCAGCGTGGTTACCATGGCAACAGGATAAAGTCAATCACAGCATGAAATTAAGGCAACAAGAAGGTAATTACTAAAATTCCATTTAAAAACTCAGATGCAATCTTTTACAGAAACCATCGCTACACTGATCTTTCACTTAAGTAAACTATTGGAACTCTGAAGAAGAAAAAAAAACAATATCTTTTTGAGCTGTGCCTTTTCACAAAACAGTCTGTCTACTTCAGCTGTCACAGGGGTAAAGTCTGTTCGGGGATAGTTTTGGAGGGATTGTTGTTTCTGACACTTTGTCTCTACGCGATCGAATTATTTTTGATCAGAGCAAAACCTGATCAAATGTACCTATGGTTATTACTTTTCCCCAAACACTCTTCAGTAATGACTGTATTTCACATGCAAACATCAGGATATAATCTTACCAGTTGAGTTGTAAGTGTTGTGGACATCAATCTACAATATGTGTGTATTTACATAAATGTGACTTCCTACACCCATTCAAGATCATCGTTGTTCACTGTAATCTTCCACCTGACAATAACCACTCTGGACAGTGTCTCACATAACAGATAGTTAACATTGCACAAATGAGTGTCATTGAAATAAGAGAAGATAAGTAAAAAACTCAAAAGTATTTTAAGATAGTTCTTTGTTTCAGATGAATCAATTTTAACCTTCATCCTATGTCACAAATTCTATATTCAGCATTTCACCAAGACAAAGATGAAACATCCAATATGCACTGGTCCTTCTGTTTGGATCTGTGAACAAAGGCTGGCCATTGTAAGCAGGGAGTGTTCTCATGACAATGCAATGTGCACATGTAATTATGCCTCATTATTGAATGTGAGGATGAGAAGGACACTCCCTCCAGGTGCCAAGTAACAGCAGATTGTTCAAAGGTCAATACAGGTAGCAAGACAAACCAGGATCTTAACCCACGCAAGTACTTTCTTTGTCCATTTCACTCTTGGTAGAGAAAAAAACAGAATAGACAGATTAAACAACACTGACATTACGTTACAATTTGGCACCTGTCCTGTAAATCTGAAAAAACTGACTGAACTATACAAGCATCTGGATGGAACCCCAGCCAAGAGTCTACAAGATAGGACACTTTCCTATGTCTCCACACCAGATAGGTGGAACAGACCAAGATGTCTTCAGCATCTGGATGGAACCCTAGCCGAGGGTTAATTAGATGGGACACTTTCCTATGTCTCCACACCAGAGAGGTGGAACTGACCAAGATGTCTACAGCATCTGGATGGAACCCAAGCCGAGGGTCTACAAGATGGGACTCTTTCCTGCCTCCACAGCAGACAGGTGGAACTGACTAAAATGTCTACAGCATCTAACCTAAACCCAACCTGAAGGCATACATCAAGGTGGGACGTTCTCTATACCAGACAGGAGGAACATACTGTATTGTATAATGATAGCACAACCTCTAGCTTAATATATCAGCAAGAGGACACAATTGCCTATCTAAAAACACCAGACAGGTGGTCACAGACTGGAGTCTTTCAGTGTTCATATCAAGGTCAGGTGATGTTTAAACTGTCTACAGGTGTCCATCTGCTTTATCAGTCAACATGTGTAATTTTAAAAAGATCACAAACAAAAAATGACACCTTTAGTTCGTGTTAAGTCTATTGATAAATTGCTATTCCATCTTCAATGGAATTGTTTCAATCATTGTTTCTGTCATGTCATGCCATACAGGGAGAAGATTAAGGTGGGTATGCAACACGAAGTCTCTGCTTTTTCAATGCCAAAGTCAAGGTTAGTTCAAGTACCACAAATAAAGTCATCTGCTTGTCTCATAAGCATGGAAGTATAATACATTATGTACATGTCAATGGTAACCAGTGGTGACTGCTATGAGACCAGCTGTGTTCACAGAGAAAGGAAGTCATAGTACTTCTACCTCCATCATTTCAATGTGGCAAGCAAGAATACTGTTAGAAATGATTTCAAGAACAGATATATTTAGGTGTAAGATTGTAGTCACAATTCAATAATAAACATCAATTAATTCAAAGCTGAATATATAAACTCTATTCAGTCTCACAACAAAAAATAAGATACTGTCAAAGTCAAGAACATTTCTTGAAATTATTTAATCAACTTTAGGCTCCAGGGTGATATAGAACACAAACATATATTTTCTGACACCAATGCAATTCCCATGGGAACAACATGTCAATTCAAATGAACAAACCATTATCCTAAAGCACACACTACATGGTAAGAAGCTCTGAAACACAGCTGGTCATGTCTTGTTCATCCATTGCAACACTGTTGCACGATGCAACAATGTTGTGTCCAACACTCACCCCAGGGAAATCTGCAGATACTTCCTTCCACTGCAAGAGCTTGGAAGATTCCATACAAGACTTTTGGGGAGTTACAAAGCGTTGAGTATACCAGAGATTTCTAAAGCCACAAGCACCTGTTCTTGTAATATGTAGGGTTCCTGACAAAGGACAACAGATCTGTTTCCCAACTATTTTAAATCATTCAATGTTGGTGCTTATGAAATCATTACAAATCTTCTGTCATCAAAGTCATACGCTTGTCAAGTTCATGATAGTGTTTGCAATCTGCTAACAGATATACAATGTCCAAAATATGCTTGTCATAAATATACAATGAACTACTACAACAGCTACATTAAACACACATGTTAACTCTATAGACTGAAATAGCTAAAAACACACAGGACTTTGCAGTTTACAAATGCAACATCTATAAACGAGTAAGATGACTGGATTTCTTTCTCTTATTGTTTAACATCAGTTGATAGAAACAAATTAATACCAATCCCAGAAAACTATATTAACACACGTATCACATATGAAGTTCATATGGACCAAAGATCAGTTGGCTGAATATTGAAACTGAGTACTACTGTGTATTCCAATTCACAAAAATGTTTTGACACCTTATTCTTGAATACATCGATCATTATATTGCAAAAAGTTAAGAAATAGGGCAAATAATGTTTCTACAATTTCTGAAAATTAAAGACAGAATATTTTATTTGAAAGTTCAATATTTCTGATATGGCCTTTAGTTACAAATCTCATCCTAGTTGATCATTTCAAAACAATTACCATTGACAGGTCAAACAAGAAAATGCACTCACAAAAATCAAAGGGTGTTAATCATATTATCTTAAACTACAAATAAAACAGCATTCATGAAACTGTAAAGTAAACTCTTAGTCAAAACGTTTATTCAGCCATAACCCCTTCATTTCCCTTTGATAAAGGGTGTTAACACAGAACAGTCTGTCAACTCACAGCATTCAGTACTGATATAATACTACACAGATCTGATAGTACAGAAATTAGCAGGAAAACAAGCTTTTTTTGGCTTTTTTGTGCAGCTTAACTGCATTTTTCAATTCTAAAAGCCATGAATTATATTGATATGTCACAATACACAACACAATTTGATATAAATATGACGCTTAAATACTAATTCACAAACAGATTGTACACACAACAAAATGTGTGTATAAATAGTTACATGAACCCTTTCTTTCGAAAGCAGTTTTTGTGATTCACAAGAAAGGAGAAGACATGTTCATCTTTTTTCTTCAATCCCTTATGTCCATTACATTTGGAGTAAGTATCCTTTATACAGCACTGTCTGGAAACACTTCTCCTCACTATCCGGGCACAGCAATCACAAACTTGTATTGACCACAACACACGCTTTGTCCTACTTGTCACTGCTCCCAACTAGGACAGAATCAAAACAACGCTTTCTCGCACAACCAACTTCATTTATCTACAGAAAGAAATCATTTGCTGTGTCAGAGATAGTGTGTAGAAATCTCTCCATGTAAGCAGTGCATGTAAAGTAACTCCTTGTCTCATCCATGACTGCATGAGATGTTGGCATGCAAGGTCACGGACAAAGAAGGTGTCTCCTTCTCACATCCATGAGTGCATGAGATGTTGGCACGCAAGGTCACGGACACAAAAGGTGTCTCCTTCTCACATCCATGACTGCATGAGATGTTGGCAAAGCTAGTTCACGGACAAAGAAGGTGTCTCCTTCTCACATCCATGACTGCATGAGATGTTGGCACAAGGTCACAGACAGAGAAGTAACTCCTTCTTACATCCATGACTGCATGAGATGTCGGGCAAGCTAGTTCACGGACAAAGAAGTTGACCTTCCCTCATCCATGACTGCAAGAAATGTTTGCATGTGAAGTCACGGAGAGAGAGAAAGGTTAAGCCTTAACAGGAACTTAGCAAAGCTACAACTTCAGGCATTTCCAAAAACCGACAATCATCGACAACATTTTCGAATCAGACATGCATGCATAAACAGACCATGGTGCTCTGATAATTACAAGTCCTTGTCATTGACATTAAAGTGATAATGGTATAAAACTGACTTGGAATAGTCTTAGTACCATGGCTGCTCTATGCACGCAGTTTCAAAGCTTTAACAAATGGCCCAGTCTGGTAAGTGTGGTAGATATATACTTCCCAACTAACACCTCTTCAGGAAGTCAAATCCTACCAAACTGTCTTGATGCCATGAGTATCAGCATGGTGTGTTGGAGATGCGGAGTACATAAAGTTTGCTCAAGTTCATCTGAATGTTCATCTGAGAGGTTGTTCCTCTTTCGAAAAGACGCCGCAAGTCATTCTGTAGACTTGAACATTGTCAAGCTTCACACAATTACATCAGTGAAACATTTCTCCACAATTTGTCCTTGACTTCCACTTAGAGGACTGTCCAATGATCACCTGATTGCTGCCTGGCTTGATCACTGCTTGATGTCCAGTCCTAAACTTCAGCTTGGTCTTCAAGCTGTTCTTGTTGTTTGGGGTCCAATGGTTACTGGATGTTATCTGTCCAACTGTTAAGTTGGGTTGTCCATCCATGAGGATGTAATTCTCTGTTGTTCGATTTCCATCAAGACGTAAGATAAGCTCTTAGTCCCTGTCATGTCATTTTCTGGGGAAAGTAGTTCATATGTAGCAGAATGTCTTTACTGCAATTAGCAATATCTGCTATTGAAGTAATCATTTTAAGTAAGTTCTATTAAATAGCTACAAGAATTATATTCTTTTCTTTTCAGATAATCTGTAAGAATATTTTCTGTCTACTGAAACAAATTTAGAAAAATATCAATTCTCCCTCCGCCCAGATCGCTCTATTAAACTTATTCTAATCTCAAGAGATCACTGAATAATATTATACTGACAGCTCTTAGTAGAGCCTCAACTTAGTATCATACATCTTGTGGAAATGATGAGAAAGACAGACGCCATCTCATATATAGTCGGTACATTTCCGATTTCTTTTCCCTTTGTAACAGGAATCCATCAGTGATAAAACAAACCTTGTATTATGCATGTAAGATAATATGTTCCCTACACAACAAATTATTCAACTGAAGGGTGACGTTCATTCAATATGAGAATATCAATAAACAGGAGAGTATTGGTTCAACAATCCCAAAAAGCATGTTTCAAATAAAATTGTTTGGATGACACTTTGAATATACAATATGGCCATGTGTTCTCAGTTGCTCCATAGTCAAGAGTCCACCATGGCTTAAAGTAGGCAGGTATTCTATATTCAAATGAAACTCATACAGACATTTATCGATAATGCATATTAAAATTGACCTCAAAAGAGAGGTGTGAAATAATTCATAATAAACAGCAGCTGTAACACTTGTGATTATTCCAGCAAATCAAACTGTAAGGATTTTACATCTGGAACAATGTTTTCAGTTACCTTAACAACGAAATTATGCTATTGGCATTTAGAACTCTAAAGTTGAGAGAAGAAAGTAGATTAGTGGTCTCTTTGAGGGTAAACTTCTCAGCAGAGGTCTTCATTGACTCCTTCTGTAAGTAAGCTGCACCGTGAACTGAAGACACTCAAAATAGGTCAAGTCGCATGATGGATTCAACTTCAGTGAGTCCATTATCGATTTCCATAATCAAGCTGTCACAAGAGTGCTCTCCCTTTACAAGAGTGCTCTCCCTTTACAAGGGTGCTCTCCCTTTGCCTCTATTCACTCCAGGCACAGGTTTAAAGTTCTTCAGTCAGTCAAAATAATTCTATTGTTTCAACACACACAACTTGTCTCAGTTACAAGCTTTACTACTACTACGCCTTCTAGAGAATTTCTATTCACAAAATTTGGCATCCCTCAGCAGCAGAATTTTATCAGTGGTTTGTGTAGCGCTTTCGAGTACACACAAATCTCTCAGGTATAAAACTCTCACCTGCACTCTTCATTAACTGAGATAACAAACCAGGTTGGGGTTAGCACTAACTGCACTGTGTATGGGAGCACAATGGGGCTAGCTCATGCAGTAGATCACTCACTCAGTCATGGTAATATAAGTACTTTGCACAAGGATTGTCCACACGGAGACCTCTCTACTCCATTCACCATTTGCTCTTTGGTTTTGGCAGGATTGTTCACTTTAGATTTTGCACTTTTAGAGTCTGAGTCACTTCCACTGGGTTGATTTGCCACCTTTGCTTGCGCCTGGTGGAGCCTCGGGTTTCCTCACGCTGCTCGCGTGGAGGTTCTTTCTGAGACCGCTGAACCTCCCCGAGAAGCTCTGGCGCATGAGCTGGCATCACCAGTGCCATTTATCTTATCAGCATTATTTACAGAGTTTTTATAACCTTGGTTACCCGCTGAAGCAGAAAGTTGAGAACTGGACTGTCCGGGCCAGCTCTGCCAGCAGCCTGTTGGGTGGGAGGGGCACTGCTTCCACCAGCTCCTCCTCCTCGCACCGCCTCGGGGCATACCACCATACCGCCACTGCCTCTGAAGTTGGAAAACACTGGTGTCCGCCTCAGTGCCTGAAGTAAAACCTCCACTGCCACTTAACTCTGTTTCGCTTCTTCGCCTCCGCCTCGTCCCGGCCCGATCATGAATCTGTTATAACAAAATCACAATGCATTTACAATTTGTTTTGTTGTTCAACAGGGCAATCAACAATGGTCCAGCTATATACTGGTTGTTTTGTTCAATGTGTGATTTTGAAATGTATTTCTGGTATTCACCGGCAGTTCTGGAGAGGTGAGGCATTCCAGATAGTGATCATTTGCTAACCATGCCAGTGAATGAGTGAGTTTGGTTCTACGCCACTTTTAGCAATATTCCAGCAATGTCACGGTGGGGGACACCAGAAATGGGCTTCACACATTGAGGAATCGAACCGGGGTCTTCAGCGTGATGATACTTTAACCATTAGGCTACCCCACCACCCCTAATGATGCCAGAGAGAGGACAGACAGAGATGATGCAGGTCATAGACGCTTACCACTTCTGTGAAGCCCCAGAGCAAGGGTTTCATGCTGACAAGCTTGGACCCAAACTCAGGACAAACCTGGGATGCCCGCCCATGATCACTGGATCCAGGGACATCCAAGATATAGCCTGCCAGTGGTGCCTAATGTTCCCATAAAGAAAACTTTGGAACAATAATGATAATCAACATCCATCTCTGTTTTTGTGAAGGAATAGTTACCTTGATCTTGGCTGTTGACACTGGCGCTTGTCTAGGACGGTATCATCATCATCGGTCATTCGACGACGGAACGGCTATCGCTGGGAATCATCATCATCATTGACTAAAACAATTGGTAACGGTAAATGATAAAATATAATATTTCTTTTAAAATATTAAAATGTGTTTTAAATAGGGAAACGGTTATTGGCAATATAATAAAGTATGCATATATGACTCTTTAAAGGATTAACTCATTAAGAAAGAAAATGATGGATTATAGTTTTGACTGTATGAAACTATTCAAGTCATGCAGCTATACATATATATGTTAGTCAAGCAAATGCACAACTGCACCCCTTAAAACAACACTGATTATTGTTCTCAGTTAATGAAGTGTAGCTTCAAATACAAGCAAAATCTAGAACAATAAAGCAAGTCTGGCAGCAAGCATGCTGGTGTCTCTAATGATACTTAGGACAAAAAGGGACTGGATTTTGTTCATTTCAAAGACATAAAATGCAGATTTCAAGAATAATAAATCTCCTTTGCCAACACCCAATAGAAATCCATTTAATAGTTACATGATTTATGTCAGATTCAATTTCAGACCCTTATTTCATCAAAATGTTACTGGGTGAAGAAAACCCAAAGATATTCATGTTTTTGCATTTTCAATATATTTTATCTATCCGTAATCCACATTTACAAATGTCCTGAACTAGCAATCAAAAGATTGCAAACACAAACTCAATGTATTCCTCTGTACCCTAACATTTACTGACAAAATTTACAAATTTACCAAATAATTTACCCAAAATCCAACTGATCTGCCCCTACCCCTCTTCCCCACTTGAGTCTCAGTTTATCTAAGCCTCAATGAAACAGGGTCGCTTAAATCCAATGAAATCTTTCTCCCGATCCACTACAATCATCTCTTCAACAGTATCACATGCACTCATGCTGCCAGAGTTAGTTCAACAGAGTTGGTATTAACAAGTTCATGGAAGGGGAAAGCAAACAACATACATGTCCGTGGTGGACTTTAAGTCTCAGGTGATCGGGCCGATTATTGTGTCCTCGATAGCCATCATAGTGTTCAGAATCTGTCAAACAAAGAACAACCCTGCAGCATGCTTCTACCTACCGTATTCATGCAATGTCAGAGGTGCTGACAGGTTCCAACTGCCCTCAAAACAGACAACTCTCACCAAATGGCAATGTTAAACGGAAGATCAAAGTTCTTGTACCTCACCTTGACAGTGTGAGAAATAGTTTCCAAATTTTGCTAGCCAGTCAGGCTTGCTATGCCTGAAAGTTACTAGCCCACAAAATAATTAACAAGTCCAAATTTGAATGTAGAAACTAGGCAAAAGATTTCAAAAATAGATGAGAATATGATATTGTCAGCATGACACGGCTTTCATCATTAAGCTGCTAATATGATGAATAGTTTTATCAGGCCATAATCTTGCCTGTGTATTATAACTTAGTAAGTAGGAGAGAGTGATATATTTACCCAAATGACCCCATGAAAATGCACTAGCCAGTCGGGCCAGTGACTGTGGAAATTTTACTGGAAATTTAGTGGCTATTTCAAGACACTGCACCTGGTCAATAAGCTTATCTGGTTATATTCAATGGTCATGAGTGAGGGAGTGAGTTTAGTTTTACTCCACTTATAACAATATTCCAGCACTATCACGCATGGCTTACACCAGAAATGGGTTTCACACATTGTACCCATGTGGGGAATCAAACCTTGGTCTTTGGCATGATGAGCGGACACTTTAACCATTAAGGCTACCCCACCACCCAATTAGTTACAGTGGTTGGGATGTAAATACAATAAAAATTTCAGGTCTTGGATCATGGTTCAAACAAAGCTTGATGTAAGGTCTATTTTTTCAAGGCATGAATAAGTCACTGATTATACTTTTCAAGACGGTAAATAACACCCAAGTGAGCTTCAAATGTGTATATAGGACATTCTGGCTGTATTCAACTTTTAGAATGATTCTAACTGCATACCTAAATCCATTCAATGAAATTTTTAGCAAAGGTGTCACCATTGCCTTGTTCTGGTTCTGTTTTGATGAGACCGAAATTGTCTATGTTAACAAGAATACAGAACAAAGTGAACCCAAAATTCTTTCAGGAATGGTAATCCTGATTTTATCTCATACCTTTTCATTTGAGTATTCTGACTGACTGACTGACTGAGTTTGGTTTTACGCCGCTTTTAGCAATATTCCAGCAACATCAATCTAAGGGGACACCAGAAATGGGCTTCACACATTGTACCCATGTGGGGATTCGAACTCGGTCTTCGCTGACGAGCCAATGCTTTAATTACTAGGCTACCCTAATCACTTCCCCATTTGAATATTCACTTGATTCTTCCATTACATGATGCCTAGTTTGAAATACATTTGTATCAGATACTCAACATGCATGTACAAGTTACAGTTATGTCTCAATACATCCTGCTTCCATGCATGCACTGCCATATTGGAAATAGAATGAGAGAGTAAATATGTTTAATGTTAAAGTAGTTATACAACAAAATATGAGTTAGATACCAAACGCAGATAAAAACTGCCAACATACACTTTTCATATAAACACTATATAGTGAGTGAGTACGTTTTTATGTTGCTTTTAGCATTACCCCAGAAATTTGGCTGGGACACCAGAAATGCTCTTCACACAGTATAGCCATGTGGGGAATTGAGCCTGGGTCTTCAGCTTGGCAAGCTAACGCTTTAACCCCTTTCTAAATTGTCTAGGAATCGAATCATTTTGTCAAAATCTATCTAGTTTCTCGCCTCTTGTTGTTAATTTCCTGCATTATGATCATATCTCATTTACCAAATCGAAACGGACCGGACCGAAACAGACCGAACCGAAGGCCTTGTACCGCTAATACATTAACGCATCGTGGGCAAGAGCCGCATCGCTTTCACCCCTAGTAGTAAACCTTTTTCTACATATGGTGTCTTAAGGTTTACAGCATTTCACAACATGGTGTCCAGCCTATAATCATGACTCGTCTTGTTACATCACTCACAGATGCATGGGCACATTTACTGTATGTCATATCACACATCCTAAGTGAACAGTTCAGTTTAATGTTACAGTAATTCATTGTGATAGTCAAATATCATAAGCTGCTGTATACGGTTCAGTCACGCATGAAATGTTACTGGCTAGCCAGGGTAAGTTGAGATGTGACCTCACAATTAACCCCCATGACATTATATGAGGGACACCCTCTGGTGTGAACCATTGTAAAGACTGTCTGACTGAGTTTGGTTTTACGCCACTTTTAGCAATATTCCAGCAACATCACGGCAGGGGACACCAGAAATGGGCTTCACACATTGTACCCATGTGGGGATTTGAACCTGGGTCTTCGGGCGGACGAGTTAACGCTTTAACCATTAGGCTACCCCAATCACCCCCATTGTAAAGAAAGGGGTATTAGGTGTTAGCCAACAAGTAGTACCATAGATATGTGCACAACACACATACACCCTCTCTACCTGCAACAAACCAAGCAGGATTGCCCAAATGCTGTGGAGCGTCTTGTCTCAACTTGTTTTGTGAGTTGGTTCAACTTATCCTGGATTACCAATAAAACATTCCTGTAGTCTTGATCTTTGGTATCTATTCCTAAGCATCATCATCATCATCATCATCAATATCGCCAGGCAGCAGTATGCAACACACACCTATCTCCCTATGAAGATTCCCTGATCTATTCATGCAGACTGACAGGCTTGGGTGACACTTACCTGAGTCTCTACGAGATGAGTACCCCGAAAGTACCTCCCCCTGCCACGCCTCTCTCGGTAGCCACTCTTCCACTCAACACACTGTCAGTCAAGTAGCCAGATGTCCGCCTCTCTTCTGCCATTACTTCTGCAGACCAATCACCAACAGGCTCTGGAGACGTCGCTTCATCCCCTGATGCCAATACAGAGAGAGTGAGGTGGGATTTGGAGGTCATACATCATCATGAATGGCTTCACAGAACAGATGTTGTGCCTAGGGTAAAAAATTGCAGCAACATCCTAATGGGAGCTCTGCCAGAGAAGCATCCTATAAATTGATCAGATGAAAGCATCAAAGCATGGTCTAGATAAGCAAATACACTGACTACACAACCAGGCTGCCCTGCAGTTGTATTTAGGTTGTGAAATCAGTTCATCTCACCAGTGTTCATGCCATGCCGCTTCTGTTGCCCATCTCCGTCACGCCCCATGCCACGCCCACCTCGGCCACGCCTTCCTCTTTCATCTGTGTAAGGGTCATTGCTCCCTCTGAAATGTAAACATTTATTAGACAACTATGACTAAACAAAGTATTGAAGAGCTGCAGCTGAAGCAGATACTGTCTGGTCAACCCAAACTTTCTTGCCCAGAGGAAGATGGCAAAATATTCAGTCCTCAACTTAACACAATGTAACAGCTTTATGGATGAAGCAGCTTTGTAACTTTACATTGACAATACAAATGAAACTTTCAAATGGAACTGCTCAGTTAAGGGAGCCAGGGTGATAAGCACATAAATGGCTTACACATATTGAGGAACATTTTAGCCACATCATAGAGGTTTACACAGAGCTTTGGATAACTTTTTTCACGCTAAGTGATACGATGTTGTTTTCTTACCCCTGGAAAAAAGTTTGATTTAAAAGCTGCAACCCATATATAAGCCAACCCCATTCTACAGACTGCTTTTTGGGGTCCTCATAATTCGGCTTATCTACGGCAATTTACGGTATTCTCCCTTTCGTGACCAGAATAACAAGAAGACAAAGTCATCAATATCCCCCGCACTGGCAAAATACCCTTCATGATTATGTCTACGAGTTATGATTATGTCAACTATTTAGGTGTGTATATAGAAAAGTGGAAGGAGAGTATTGAAAGGTTTTTAAAGTTCTGCTCCAGAAAGGGTCACTATCACCAATTTCAGTCTATGTCAAACTTGTTGCCATGGAAACGCCAAAAATATTTTATTCAGAATTCCAAAACTACCAAAACGCACCAGTACACCACCAGACCAATCTATGTGCCAAGTTTGGTGAAGAAATAGTGAACGGTTTTAGAGTTCAGCTCCGGAAAAGAGCACTACCAAGAAATTTCAGGCTAAGTCAAACTTGTTGCCACGGAAACGCCAAAAATATTTTATTCAGAATTCCAAAACTACCAAAAGGCACCAGTACACCACCAGATCTATCTATGTGCCAAGTTTGGTGAAGAAATAGTGAACGGTTTTAGAGTTCTGCTCCGGAAAAGACAAATGTGCACGGACGGACGCACGCATTCACGCACGCACGCACACACGGAGTCCATTTTAATACCCCCAAAAGCGCTATGTTGATAATCAACCCTCGCATAATTCAGAAAAATCAACCAGGTTTTACTAAGCTTAGTTATAGCCAGAACCTCTAAACCATCACTTTAGAGCAGACAACAACTAAACAGACTGATTCCATAATGTCTTCAAACTGAACAAACGAACCTCCTTTCCCGCGGAGGGGGAAAGTAGGGCCCAGACTGGGGGCCAGAGAGACTCTTCAGCTGTTGGTCTATCTCCTGCTTTGCTTGTCGCAGCTGCTCCACTTCCTGTGGTACAAATAAAATGAACAAACTGATGGGATATTCAGGCTCAAGGAGGCCATACATCTTTCTTTATGCTTTATGACTGACCACTTAATAATTATAAACTTATGTCACGAAAGTCTTAGGTGTGATACACGCTGGTTTCTTTCTATAGTAATATCAACACATGCCACTTTCATCACAACAACCATTAGGTATTAAAGAGCATAAAATGGTTTCCTTCTTTTCTTTTTAAAATGAATATGTCTATTCACGCTATCCATATAGTGGCTATTGTGTATTTAATTATAATTTCAAATTCAAACTTCTCATTTCACTATAGAGGTATATCTCAGTCAGCTGTATATTCAAGGCATGTAGAAGACATAGAACTTACCCGTAAATGTGTTAAGTGGTAATCTAATAACAGCTGTGCATTTGCAATACTTTCTACAGTTCAATTTAAAATGAAAGGCACCTGTCCCTGAAATTCAAAGGTCTGAAAACTCAGTCGAGATCTGATCATGTTAAAATTTTATCTCATAAAGAATGAACAGAACAGCTATCAGAAAACTGATAGTTAATATTTGGGATCAAGTTAATGAATAATCGCCAACATACACTTTTCACACAAACAGCATAGTGAGTGAGTGAGGGAGTATGGTTGAAGTCATTTTTAGCAAAGTTACAGCAATATCATGGATGAGGACACAAGAAGTGGGCTTCACACACGTGGGAAATGAACCTTCTTCAGCATGAGTGAGCGTTTGTAACCAATAGGCTACCCCACCGACCCCTAAGTGGTATCCAAGAATCTGGTTCCTTATATCTATCTTACTGAACATGACATAAGTTTAAAAATGGAAGCAATTCAAATCCTTTTAAATATCAATTTTGTAATGTTATCGGTAATACCTCTTCTCTTGGCTGGTCAGTTTCATTGTCCCCCTCGATTTTGACCCTCACAACACCTGACTTGTCTACTATGTCTTGAATGTTTCGGCCATTCTTCCCTATAACTTTGGCTGAAACAAGACGAGTCACACATTAGAGTGGTACATAAAGCCTGTATTTTCACATTTTAATATTGACTTGTCGAGGAGAAAAATCTTGTGTTGACCGTGTATGGAAGATGAACAAACTAATGGACAGTGAGAGAGTGAGTTTAGTTTTATGCCACTTCTAGCAATATTCCAGCAATATCATGGCGGAGGACCCTATAAATGGGCTTCACACAATGTACCTGTGGGGACTCGAACCCGGGTCTTTGGCGTGACAAGCAAACGCATCAACCACAAGGCTACATCACCACCCCTAAACAAATAAATACAACAGTCCCTTAATTTCCTACTTAGGATGAGCGACTGGGTGAGGGAGTGGGTAAATTGACACACACCATCAAGGTACATAGTTCCACTTCAAAGCAGTCCAGTCACCAAACTGTTTAGTGAGGGAGTATGATTTTACGCCACTTATAGCAATATTCCAGCAATGTCACGTCGGGGGAGACTATAAAATGGGTATCACACATTGTACTCATGTGGAGAATTGAACCTGGGTCTTTAGCACGACAAGTGGATGCTTGTAACCATTCAGCTACCCCACTGAACCCCAAACTATGTGTAATCCAGTCTGACTGATATGGGCATGTTTTCAGCCTCATACAACTAAAATCTATTCTGCTTCAGAAATGATATTTAAGATGTAAAACAGAGCTAAATCTATATTCTGGTCAATGAAGCCTGCTGTGACCAATACTGTCTGTCAATGACAAGTATAAATATACTAAAACTTTGTTGATTGAACTATGTCTTTGTTTCTCAATACTTACCCACTAGATCTCTCGGGACTTGAAATGTCTGTTCAGCAAATTCTAACATGTTTCTAGCTTGTTTTACAGCATCTTGAGTCTAAAATTCATAAAATCAATTATATCACTCTATATGATTAACAAAACATCAACTGAGTTGTGATTGCATAGTTACCCAAACATTCTTATTTGTTACCCAATATTTGTGATATGTATCATATTAACCTCCCACTAAACCTATGAGTTGCCTCTTACAACAAGGCACCTGTTGCGGATGGCCTGACTAACTCTAACCAGAAGACACAAAGACTTATTCCACTAATAATGTATTTTTTTTTATTAAAATTGATATTTTATACTTATCCTGACTCATGATATCAATCAAATACAGTTTATGACCAAACTTGACTTCTACAAAGTTTATCACCACATTTTACAAACAATCTGTAGGATCAGTATAGGTCAACATCATCCAGATGTGGTTCTGCAATGTTTCCATCAAAGTGTCACTCATCTTACCTCTCCATATACTTTAAACCTGCAGGTATTCTCGCCCAGCTCGATGCCAGTGATTCCTTCCACTTTCGAGCCTGCTGGATGTTAGCACCATGTGTTCCAATAGCAAGACCCATCAGGTCGTCTCGTACACTGAACTCCTCCATGAACCCTGACCGGATCTTGGTACTCTGAGGGAATGAAGTCTATTGAACATTTCCTTCACATTTTTGCTATCAGATCCCTGATGATCAAATACATACAAACAGTATAACTGATATGGGACTTTAACATGTCCTTAGTCTATGCAACGAATAACAGTGTACTTGACAAACGACATTATTTAGTTCCATGTCCTTCAATGGATATGTGGATGCTGTTGTGCAGAACAATCAACTGAACTGCAACCAAAACAAAAACATCTCCTTGAACACTACAAGCAATATCTTAAAGGTAAATGTCTTCAGGTATTATGATTATATTGTAGTTGTTGTTAAACGCCACACTCTATCTATGCGAGTGAGTGAGTTTAGTTTTATGCTGCACTCAGCAATATTCCAGCTATATGGCGGTGGTCTGTAAATAATGGATGCTGGACTAGACAATCCAGTGATCAACAGCATGAGCATCGATCTGTGCAATTGGGAACCGATGACATGTGTCAACCAAGTCACTGAGCCTGACAACCCGATCACGTCGCCTCTTACGACAAGCATGGGTTACTGAAGATTAATAGTCTAACCTGGACCTTCACGGGTGATCTGTCCATGCAGTCAGTATGTGTCATGCACAAAAGAGGCACAACTGCTACACACTGTATTCTCTCAAACACATGTCAAGTACGTCACTCAGATCAGAGATATGATCCAGTCTCTCATCACCACTGATGTATCTTTAACTGCTATTGATGAAGGAGGTTTTAGAATTGGTCTTCAACAAGCATTGTCACTTAGGTAACATAATCCCCCGCCGCAAATTATCATATAAAACTTAAAAAGTAATGAAAGTTTAAGATGAAGCTAAATGTCAACAAAAACATGAAAAGATCAATCTCTCTTGATATCTTCTCTTTAGTTGTTCAAACACACAAATATTTTCAAGACTGACTTTGACCTTGACATGAATGCCATAGTGTATGAAATATGCAAAAATGGTACTAAAGAAATTGCTTATTGAAAAACATTCAAGGGAAGTCTTGAAAGTCTAAGAAGAAAATCCAGTGAATTCAGGTTAACATGCTGAAATCTTCAAAGTGTCGCAAATTATGTGAAGGTCACCAAAACTGACTGGGCCCTGCGCCTTCATTATATGAAGCTTGGTGTCAATATGAAAAAAAATCCAGTGAATGTTTTTGGCGATATCTTGCTGACTATCTTAACATGCAATTTAACATGCTGCTATCATTAAAGTGTCGCTGTGACTTTGAAAATTAAGCAAAGGTAACCAAACTCGACTGGTGCCCTGCGCCTTCCCTAGATAAAGCTTGGTGTTAAATATGAAGAAATCCAGTGGACGGTTCTTAGGATAGCTTAACATGCAGGTTAACATGCTGAAATCTTCAAAGTGTCGCCATGACCTTGAAAATTACATGAAGGTCACCAAAATTGACTGGGCCCTGCGCCTTCCCTAGATAAAGCTTGGTATTGAATATGAAGAAAATCTATTCAGCAGTTCTTGAGATATCTTGCTGACAAGAGTAAAACGTTAAAGTCCCCTTGTGACCTTGAAATGAAGGTCAAGGTCACCAAACCTGACTGGGACCTTTCTCATACTGTGATGAACCTAGGTACCAAATATGAAAAGAGTCTAGCCAACGGTTCTTAAGATATTCCAATTCGTACGTACGTACTTCACGCTAAACATGCGAGGGGGGATAATAACAGCTTGTCGTAAGAGGTGACTAACAGGATCGGGTGGTCAGGGTTGCTGACTTGGTTGACACATGTCATCGTATCCCAATTGTGTCGATCGATGCTCATGCTGTTGATCACTGGATTGTTTGGTCAAGACTCAATAATTTACAGACAGCCGCCATATAGCTGGAATATTGCTGAGTGCGGCGAAAAACAAATACCAAGTCAGCCAACCAAGATGACACAGCAAACATTTTGTAAATTTATTAATCACCTGTAATTTTTTCACCGCTTCTTCCGTCCTCTGTTTTAATAATACTTTCTGGCGTAGATTTCTGATGAACATGTCCCCAATGATGGAAGCCTTCTTAATTACTTGTTCACTTGTGGACTGGAAACATAAAACAATATATTATTTTCATCATGAGACAAACAAACCTCCCATACTTCAAAATCTCTTATATCAGACAGACGAGTGAATGAACTTCTGCAGGGAACAACACATAACAGTTCCTCTTATTATTTTCTTGGAGAATACATGTACAGGTAAAAACAGGTACATGAAGTTCTTTCACATCTTCACTTATCATTCAAACATCACTGGTCATGTTCCGAGAATGTGTTAGATCTAAGTGATCTGCTATTCTGTAGGCGAGTTTGGTTTTACGCCGCTTTCAGCAATATTCCAGCAATATCACGGTCGGGGACATCAGAAATGGGCTTCACACATGTTAACCATGTGGGGAATCGAACCCAGGCCTTCGACGTGACGAGCGAACACTTTAACCAATAGGCTACCCCACTGACCTCAATCTGTAGGAAAGTTGTATTAAAACTAAAACGACACATCACCAAAAACCCAGCTTCACCATTGCAGCATGCTGATTATCAAGTCTGGGCCAAGCAGTGAAGTTGATAATGTGAACAATGTCCAAACAACCATGTTCTTGAGCCTGATACTGGTTCCGACAACAAATAATACAAATTTAATGCAAATTTAACTTTATATCGGCTCCGCTTACGCGTCGCCGATATAACTAAATTTGCGGCTATATAACCACCGGTATACGTCCCCAATTCATCAAACACAGTATAGTTATCCCCATTCTAATTCAACTCGTTTTACGCTGTTTTTTCGTGAAAGAAATTCATTATTTAAACCAGGTCAAAGTTCCTCTAGGTCAAAGATTAATCATATCACTCCTTCAACTTACACCATCGCCAGAGAAAGTAGTTCCCTTTTCAAACTACACACGTTTATTATGTGCACACAGACTAAATTTGACAATGATGAATAGATCAAAGTATTATAGATAAAATGGACGGTATTATGATGAAACCGCCTCTAGTTACAGAAATGAGCTGCCCGCTGATTCCTCAACTACGGGCCATTATCAGTTCTGTTGTCAAATGACGCCATAGCAGGTGATGTCACGCCCATAATGACGCCATAAACCTTGTTTCATGATCTAACAGTGTTGGGTCAACAGCCCATTATGCAGTAAGTTGTTTGAACCTAAAATTAAATTTATGATACTGTTTTGTCTTTTTTAACACAAATTCCACCCATTTTAGCTGGATAGGGGAGTTAATTGACCAATGGCTTCTGCAAATGATAATGTCCTGCGAAACAGCATTACCCGAATAGTGTAGGGATACATTCAAAGGTTTCGGTGAATCGGTTTTCAAATTGCGACCGTATATGCTGATTATACGGTCGGAAATTTATAGCATTGACCAATCAGAACTCGTGTTACATACTCAGTTGAATTAGAATACTGGATATATATCGCTGAGGTATGGGATAAACGTTTGGTTTGTTTGTAACACCTTAAGAGAGTTATCGGTAGGGTAATAACTAATAACTTACCAGTATGACAAGAGAGTTATTGGTAGGGTTATAACTAATAACTTACCAGTATGACAAGAGAGTTATCGGTAGGGTAATAACTAATAACTTACCAGTATGACAAGAGAGTTATTGGTAGGGTTATAACTAATAACTTACCAGTATGACAAGAGAGTTATCGGTAGGGTTATAACTAATAACTTACCAGTATGACAAGAGAGTTATCGGTAGGGTTATAACTAATAACTTACCAGTATGACAAGAGAGTTATCGGTAGGGTTATAACTAATAACTTACCAGTATGACAAGAGAGTTATCGGTAGGGTTATAACTAATAACTTACCAGTATGACAAGGGTTATAACTAATAACTTACCAGTATGACAAGAGAGTTATCGGTAGGGTTATAACTAATAACTTACCAGTATGACAAGAGAGTTATCGGTAGGGTTATAACTAATAACTTACCAGTATGACAAGAGTGTTATCGGTAGGGTTATAACTAATAACTTACCAGTATGACAAGAGAGTTATCGGTAGGGTTATAACTAATAACTTACCAGTATGACAAGGGTTATAAGTAATAACTTACCAGTATGACAAGAGAGTTATCGGTAGGGTTATAACTAATAACAGCCGCACCACAATGTTTTTTGAAGTCTGTGTGAGTTTCTTCCTCTTGGCATCTGAAACAAAATCATTCTTCTGTAGAACAAATTGAAAAGATATCGTTTTGGTCATGAACAACACCAAAACAACAAAATGAAAAGGCAGTGGAACTTGTCTGATCATCATCCAAGGGTTAAAACAAGTCAGCTCACAGCAGAAGCTGTTGATGGTAATGCAAGAGGTTTCAGTGATTGAACGATATTTTATGTCACTGCTGGCACGAGTTCAGACATATCAGTGGACAGTCCATTAATTATTAAGTATGGGCCTGAAGTATGGGCATGCCATTGACAGGACACACAAGTCCATCGCCCTATTCTAATCTGAGTCCACAGGTGGCATCAAATAATAACTTTCAATGGCCTATTGTAACATTTTGTTTCAGAACTCGCCAGCTCATCAGTTATAATCAATGTCTTTGAATATAAATTTTTTGGTCCCTGTAGCCACATTCGGCTATATCATTGTATTAAGGGTTTCTTCACTTAGGAACTGATGCTGCAAATGTGATTACACTTACGCTTCTTTCAGGTCAGGAGGCACTTCCAGTATATATTTGAAGAAACTACTGCTACTGATTGTAGGGCTGTAAAGGAAGGGCAATAATCAGTATACTGTCATTCAGAAGATGGTAAATACATACACAGAATAACAGTAATACTGAAAGCAATAAAAAAGCTTCAAGGATTTCAAAAACTTGATGGATTTCATAAAGGCATCACTAGACAGCTGTCCATTACACCTACAGGATATAAGCTTTCTAACATATTGGTTCATGAACAAATAGGTTCATGAACAAATACAAAACCGGTTTGGAGTCACTAAGAAAATAATTATGACTACAGTTAATGAGCATGCTTGAGTTGGGTTGAATATTTCAGTCATGACATGGCCTATCATCTGAAAGCTGGAAAAAAGCAACAAGCTTGGTGCTTAAAAATCAAGGATCATAACTATTAGCAGCACTAGACAGCATATTTCAGCACCTTACATAACCATGCTGCATTAGCCCCAATATTTTACATATCCCGCCTAAATGCCCCCAAAATGAAGGCCTATGCACACTAAACTGCTGAGGTCAATATTGGTGTAACTACGTACTTTGCATTGCCTGATCGTAACTTGTCGAGAGCTATGATGTCTGTGTAGTTGTCCTGGCCCACATACTCCACTACAGCAAACTCCCCTTTCAACATCTTGATCCTGGATGGCCACCATGCGAACACTTCGTCATTCTGGGACTTGGTGAACACCTGCAAAACAAAACAACATATAATATAGGTAAGACAGGGACTTTTGTTTGTTACAACAGGATCAATACTCCAGTGACATCACATTAGTCTCTGGGTAACCAAGCACGGACCAGACAAACCACTGAGCGAATGTTGTTTTGTACCACAGTCAGCAATACTCCAATGATATCACATCAGTCTCTGGGTAACCAAGTGTGGACCAGACAAACCAGTGATTGAAAACAGGCAATCCAGTGAGCGAATGTTGTTTTGTACCACAGTCAGCAATATTCCAATGATATCACATCAGTCTCTGGTAACCAAGTGTGGACCAGACAAACCAGTGATTGAAAACAGGCAATCCAGTGATTCTAATGTTGTTTTGTACCACAGTCACAATATTCCAATGATATCACATCAGTCTCTGGGGTAACCAAATGTGGACCAGACAAACCAGTGATTGAAAAACAGACAATCCAGTGAGCTTAATGTTGTTTTGTACCACAGTCAGCAATATTCCAATGATATCACATCAGTCTCTGGGTAACCAAGTGTGGACCAGACAAACCAGTGACTGAAAACAGACAATCCAGTGAGCGAATGTTGTTTTGTACCACAGTCAGCAATATTCCAATGATATCACATCAGTCTCTGGGTAACCAAAGTGTGGACCAGACAAACCAGTGATTGAAAACAGACAATCCAGTGAGCGAATGTTGTTTTGTACCACAGTCAGCAATATTCCAATGATATCACATCAGTCTCTGGGTAACCAAGTGTGGACCAGACAAACCAGTGATTGAAAACAGGCAATCCAGTGAGCGAATGTTGTTTTGTACCACAGTCAGCAATATTCCAATGATATCACATCAGTCTCTGGGTAACCAAGTGTGGACCAGACAAACCAGTGATTGAAAACAGGCAATCCAGTGAGCGAATGTTGTTTTGTACCACAGTCAGCAATATTCAATGATATCCACATCAGTCTCTAATCAACCAAGTGTGGACAGACAAACCAGTGATTGAAAACAGGCAATCCAGTGTGTGTTTTGTACCACAGTCAGCAATACTCAATGAAACATCAGTGACTGAAAACAGTGATTGAAAACAGGCAATCCAGAATGTTGCTTTGTACCACAGTCAGCAATACTCCAATGATATCACATCAGTCTCTGGGTAACCAAGTGTGGACCAGACAAACCAGTGATTGAAAACAGGCAATCCAGTGAGCGAATGTTGTTTTGTACCACAGTCAGCAATATTCCAATGATATCACATCAGTCTCTGGGTAACCAAGTGTGGACCAGACAAACCAGTGACTGAAAACAGACAATCCAGTGGCGAATGTTGTTTTGTACCACAGTCAGCAATATTCAATGATTCACATCAGTGATAACCAAGTGTGGACCAGACAAACCAGTGACTGAAAACAGACAATCCAGTGAGCTTAATATTGTTTTGTACCACAGTCAGCAATATTCCAATGATATCACATCAGTCTCTGGGTAATCAGAGTGTGGACCAGACAAACCAGTGATTGAAAACAGGCAATCCAGTGAGCGAATGTTGTTTTGTACCACAGTCAGCAATATTTCAATGATATCACATCAGTCTCTGGGTAACCAAGTGTGGACCAGACAAACCAGTGATTGAAAACAGGCAATCCAGTGAGCGAATGTTGTTTTGTACCACAGTCAGCAATATTCCAATGATATCACATCAGTCTCTGGGTAACCAAGTGTGGACCAGACAAACCAGTGATTGAAAACAGGCAATCCAGTGAGCGTATGTTGTTTTGTGCCACAGTCAGCAATACTCCAATGATATCACATCTGTCTGTAGATAGCTTAGGCTGCACCAGGAAAACCAGCAACTAAAACCATGAGCAACAATCCAGGCCATCAGGCCCCGCTGACATAGGAACACAATAACATAATAATTATCAACGAATCACCTGACATCAAGATGCAAATTTACCTATATCAGTACCAGGAAGTGTTTGTTCAAGACCTATTCTAACATGGAACCCCACTGGTCAAGTGTGAGGGATCAAGGCATTCCTGTTGAAGCTGGATTCTGATGGCAAATGCAGCCAACATATGTTTACTGACCTCTTGTTAATGCTCTGAACCACAATCAATAGATAACACAATTTCAATCAACTACTTGTGACATGTTGAAGTAGGCTGACCTAGTTTAGATTTCACTGCCATTATTTTGAACATTTTGAATATGTACTGTTCTTAACATCAGACAGATTCCTGTTTCATGTATTGGGTTGGGGGTTTTCCCCTGTCTTTTGTATATTGCCCCACTCAGCAATAAAACATTGAGCCTGGACCAGACAATCCAATGACTGATGTCACGAGCATCAATATATGCAATTGGGATTAATGACATGTGTCAACCGAGTGAGCAATCCAATCCCATAAGTTGACTTTCATGATGAGCATGGGTTGGTGAAGACCAATGCTAATCTGTATCTTGATTGGTCTGGAATATATGGAGGAAATTTCATACTAAGAGAAGTTAATTTGATTACTGTGTGATCACATTAGATCCAAATATGAATGAGGAAATTAAATTAAGGCATCTGATCATTTCAGTCAATCTGGTGAAATCTCCACCTCATTTCCTTTTGGAAAATGTACACTGAAAATTTCAGTCATTATGCGAAATGACATAAGTGAATCAGTATAAAAGACATTCACTGTGACATATACATTCTGCCAAGAAACTTGTATCCAGCTTACTTAGGAATTCGTTACCTTTTTAAGTCCATATCTAACAGGAAATATACACTTGTGAACGTTCACTGAGTAAGACATGGGTGTGATGAAACACAGTAAGGGAATTATACTTAAGATTACATAGTATAGACGTGTCACAAACAAGGAGTGTTTACTTAGTTGCATGTACACAACTTACAGTCTGACACAAAGGTCAAATTACAAAATGGATAATAATAATATTGGAACTCTAACACTGAAGCCCTAATACAAAAAGTGTCAACAACGTCTTCATCTCATGCGTAAACTGAGATGTTAAAAAGGTTAACCCATCTGTGATGTCATCTTTTTATGCAGCATTTATACAGAGTATTGTATCGTTTTCCTTCCATTGTTGGTAAGGGTCTCTCTCAGTTCATCTCAAATCTAAAATACACAAAATTGTTAACACTGCAAGTAAAATCGCTGGAGTCAGATTTGAATGTTTATCATCAATATATGAGCGGCAAATCGTGAATCAAGCTGTCAAAATTATATCTGACCGTACTCACTACTTAACTTCGGAATACAACCTCCTCCCTTCAGGCCGCCGCTACAAAGTTCCAATTGTGAAAACTAAGAGAGCCTGTACATCCTTTATTCCAAGTACCATATCTCTCTTAAACAAATGTGAAGATACCTAAATCAATGAATTTATGTAAATATGTTTTCTATCTCTCTAATGTGTCAGTAGCTCTGCTGATTCCTGAAATGGCATTAAAGTATTATTCTATTCTATTCTATTCAGTGAGTGAGTGACTTTAGTTTTATGCAGTTTTTAGCAATATTCCAGCAATATCACGGTGGGGGATGCCACTAATGTGGGAAATCGAACCTGTCTCTTCAGCGTGACAAGCAGACGCCTTAACTACAAGGCTGCCCCATTCAGTGATTGAGTGAGTGAGTGTAGTTTTACAGTGTTTTTAGCAATATTTCAGTGATATCACTGACACCAGAAATGGGCTTCATACAATGTATCCATGTGGTGAATCAATCCCAGTTCTTCAATGTGACAAGCCAACTCTTAGCCAGCAGGCTGTCCAACCACTCCTCAGTATTCAGTCCGTATTAGCTAAAACTTCTCTTTCAGAAATATTTCCATCATACTTTTGTGTTGACATCATACAGAATATCAGCAGCAGCTCATACTTGACTTGACATGTTGCAACAGAATTAGGCGTCTGTTAACCTGTAGCAGACAGAGAACTATTACCTGTCTTTTACAGAACCTTACAGCTACAATGTTGGCCTATCGGTAAAATTAGAACTGATCAATGTCTTCTGTGTATGACAGCCAAAAATTGCAACACTTATGTTGGGGAAAAGATGATCAAAAACATAATTGCAGTGTGTGACCTAAATGCTCCATAAGAGCAGACGCCGAGTTTTCTGGAATTTGCTTACATAACAGAGAGCCAAAGGTGTCCGACACAAAACAGCCTCAATATCGCAGGAAATATGGTAAAATGGAGCTAAAACACAGCCCACAACAATACCGAATTACAGTCGAGGGCCAAAAGCTGAGGCAATCTGGACTTGCAAAATCATTGGAAATTAGGATTGTTTTTCCAAATTTTTTCTAGGGTTTGGGAGGCAGAATAGATGATGTGCTCCTGTGTGGGTGACTGACGCCTGAACCCTGTAGCCCCACAACATGGGGTCATCTGCCTAAGCTGTAGCTGTGTCAGTGTGGAAAGCTGGCCGGATGCACTCAATGACACCTGTGAGGCTCCACACTGTGTTCTGTCTGTGTTTCCTCTCATTTACCATGTGTACTCCACATCAACAGTAAGCCCCAACACGGAGGAACAGACAATAACCATTTACATATGTCAATCTGATTTCCTCACACAGAGTCCACAACTAAATACCCTTCCTCACACAGTCAGATCAATGTTATCCTGTCATACTTCAAAAGTCCTACTTTGACTTCATGCAAATATTCTAATTCTTGTCACTCAGTATCTTCTATCTATCAATGTTGTCCAATTAATTATGACCAGGTCCCAGACAACAGATCCACTAGACAGTCTGATAACCGTTATACTCATAATTCAAGATCTTACTATTAGTAATAATAGTGAGCAGGTGAGTGAGTGAGTTTAGTTTTACGCCATACTCAGCAATATTCCAGCTTTATGGCGGCGGTCTGTAAATAACTGAGTCAGGACCAGACAATCCAGTGATCAACATCATGAGCATCATTCTACGCAATTGGGAGTAATAATACAAGATGTGACATGTGAAAGTTAA